TTGGAGGGTGAAAATTTGAGTTTAGCCCCAACATGGTTGGAGATGGTCTAAAGATCTAGTTGGTGACGATTGCTGTGGGCAAAACAGTTTGGATATATCTCGTGGTTGGTTGGTTGAAGGTGATTCTAAAGTACACGTTGTTGACTTTACACATAGAAGTTGTTATGCATACATACGCATGCATTAATTAACATGTCCCATTGTATATATTTTTACACATTTGTTTGGCTATATATATCTTTATATATATATATATATATATATATTTTGGCTACCAAAGGAATGTGTGTGGTGGTAAGAAGAAGAAGAAGAAGAAGAAGAAGAAGAAGAAGGCAGATGCTCATCATGCTGTCCACCTACATCCAGTGCAACAATTAATATTAGTGACAGGCTCAATTAAATTGTTTGGGCCCTTTTCCATTGAACCTCATATACCAAGATCAATGCGAACTTTCCTACTTCGTGACAAATTGAGTAGCAGATATCCTCTAATTATAGCTTGTGATGCCGGTCTTAAGTGGTGACACCGGAAGAGACAGAGAAGAAAGAAGAGAGTAAGAGACAAAAACAAAATTATAGCTAGTGTGATCGTATATGTATATATATAGTCTTTATGTATAATTAAGATTTTGTGACCCGAGACATTATTTTAACTCGATAGTACTTGTCAGTGTAGCAGAGCTAGGAATTTATGTGTTGGGGGGCCAACATATAAACCAAATAAGACATCAAAACATTTCAATTTTTCAATCTTAACAATGTTTGTAAAAATAAAAGGCAAAAAACAATTGTTTATTCAATTAGGTATCAAAATAACATTCGTCGTTCTTTCATATCTCGAAAATCATTAGGAACAAAAATTTAGTGAATGCTAAAACCATTTGTAATTGAGTCAATGCTAAACTTTGCTTCATATAGGAACAAAAATTTAAATCTCAATCCTTTTTTATTTGGGTAAAAGTCTACTTCTTATTTGATAAATGAGATTTTTTGAAATTTTATTTGATTGACTACTTTTATGTTTTATTAATATATTGGTGGGCCCAAAATTACTTAGTCTTTCTATTTGAAATCACTTACTCTTTCACTTGCAAACAGAGAGAAATGTATCTTTTCTTTTGTGAGGGGCCACAAACAGTTTATTATTATATAGACTTCCTAAATGTGTAGAAAAGCAAAAGCAAAAATTAAATGGAGTAAAAAATTCAGGCCTTAACAAGGCTCCGCCGCATAACCTGATAGTACTTGTCACATAACGCTACCACATAACGGAGAAGTCATCACTCGAGTTTTTCCTCATATACCAATGGTACAAAGAAAGAAGTGGATTGCCTAACGTGTACTAAAAAATTTACACACATGAACCGATATTTTTATTAAAAAAGTAAATTGAACAATGAAACGACATAGTAACTCTTCAAGACAAGTGCAGATATATTAGCACCAATCCTATAAGCAGAGATTTCAACTCACGATTAGTAAAGCTACATGTCATCAAGCAAACCCACGATCAACTGGGCATGCTTATTGGTTAGTCGTTAATTGCACGTGCATGTACCCATGATGGGTTTAGAGAGGAGGACAAATCTGAACCACATGCCTGAGAGAAGGTTTTAAAGCAAGTGATCACTTTTTTCAACGTCTTACTCTATCATGGGTTTTAAACCTTTTCTCAACATATCTTTACTCTATCATGGGTTTTAAACCTTTTCGCAGGTATGTGGTTCAGATTTGTCCTCCTCTCTCTCTCTCTCTCTCTCTCTCTCTCTCTCAACATCTTACTTTATCATTTAGTCTTTTATCCCTTTTTGAGTGTTTAAAACATTAATTCGTCGCTCTCTCTTAGTTCAGCAAGCTACTTAACTATACATGTTGAAAGTTTCTAAGATCAAATTACGTGCAATATGCTAAAATTATGTTAGTCAAGCTAACTATATTGATTCAAATTTCTGAAAAAAGTTGAGGAATCAAAAGTAAACCCTTTCTCGTGAGTATTGAAATCCCTACCTTTACGTCATATATTTGAATTGTATACCTCTCGTTTCTGATTGAAAGGCATAGGTTTGGTTGAAGCTGTTCATTGAAAGGAAACTAATCTTCTCCTTGACAGCGTTCGTGTCTCTTATCTTATGTGCCTCCAGTAGTAATAGATGCACAAGTGGGGTATGTGCTATGCTGTAAAGTGTACGTACTTCATGAAATTCTTTCATTAGAGTGGTTATTTTCTACTTTGAAAATTGACAAATGTTTGGCTCCTGCAGGCAAGTATTCATTCCTTGTTAATTACAAACCAATCACAACACCTACGTGCTGACTTAAAATGAGGAATTGCGTCATTAAGGAGTAAAGTAATGACTTCTTATAAACCCGAATTCTCTACTTCTACTTTTGGTGTTTGTATTGTGACGATGGAATGGACGATTGTTCTTTGTTTTTATTTTTTTTAGTAAAGAACAAATTGTTGATAGGTTATTGATAATGTGTCGATATAATTGTTGTCAACAAAATATATGTACGTGTTATCGATACAATATCGATGCATGCATGTTTTGCAAAAAAGAATTTATGGTTATGCTTATATATATATACTCTGGAACTGCGTTGTTTTAAACTTTCATTTGATTATCCTAAATTTTTCTTTTTATATATAAAGGCTTTCAAAGTATTTTTACGTCAAACTAAGATTAGAGTGTTTAAGGAAACTTATAGCCATACAAGAAAAAGTAAAAGTAGATTAACAACAATCGCATTTTCTTAGCTAACATCACATGCAAAACCCCTAATAACCTAAAATTCACCTTTCTTCCCTTGTGTATTTTTTTAGGTAAAAGGAGGTGTCATTAGGTCCCCACTACTTAATATGAGCTTCATATCATGTTAACCCACGCATAAGATATCATTGATTTAGAAAAAAATGAAGCATTTTTCCAAGAGTAAGACAACAAGACAAGAAGATATGCCTTAGACGATACCACATACAACCAAAGAAGAAATATTGGGATTATTTCGTGCAAGGCTTATTTTCCCGTCTACCATGACTAACGTAAACAGATTAGAAGTAGTGCCAACTTTTTTGGCCTGACCCAAATTTTTTACATAAATTTATTCACCTACCCATTTCCCATTACGTAATTACAAGTGCAAGCGAAGTTGATCTGGTCTGGTCTGGTGGATAATTTGTTGGTGAGAAGTTTGTGCATTTAATTAGAGATGGACGGGTTACGTTTGTTGAGAGGAGCTGTCAGAAAAAAGAGACACCAAATTAAAGAGAGGGGATGACCAATAAGAAGGTCAAAGGTCGCAATAACTTCTTCTATATATCTGTCACCGGCCTTCTTTTAACTCGAAGCAGCAAAGCCCATCAGGGCTTCTTTCTTTGCTCTCTGTGGTTTTCCAAAACAACCCTAGGGTGTCCAATAAAACACAGAAATGCCCTAAAACATCTACATCAATGTATGAGCATTTATATCGATCCCACTATATACTGACGTAACCAGAGAGCTATATATTTATCTATATTGAATGTGGGTAATGTGTGTGTTTTGAAATTTGACAGAAACTTAACGAAATAATTTCTTTTTGATTGATATAGACGATACTGAGAGAGTGGATAGTCAAAGATATGCTATATGAATGGATATACTCTTTTAATCATTTGAACTACAAATCGCTTCAAAATCACTTCAAATCGCTTCTTGTGTTTAGTCGAAACCCTTACGTCTAAGGCTAAGGGTAGGTTCTTGGTCCCTAAATGTCCACGACTTTGGGGCTGCTGCAAGGTTTAATCAGACACGGCCCCAACAATATATTAATTACAAATCAATCCTCGCTGTATCTGATCAATATTAGGAGACAGATCAATTTTGAAGGCTTTAATCATTAATATAGTAGCTTAGTTACTTGTCAAATGAGGTCATCTCAAAAGCAATATCTAGTGAAGTGAGGCTTTGTGAAATTGGGTCTCCAGTTTGTCAAAGTAGATTTGGCATTTGGGGTTCAAACTTTATGGAGGAGATTTGGATAATTGTCATGTAATGCTCTTTATATCAGACTTCTTCTACTTTATATCATCAGACCCTTTACTGATAGATTTCTCAAATAATTTTATTGACATAATCATATAACAATTTTACATTATACCCATATTTCCTTTTATCGACATAACCACTTTAATTAATTCCCCTATAATTAATAATGTTTGTTGGATGGTAAAATCAATATCTGTAGTTGTAGATATAGAATTCCAAATATATAATTTTTTAAATAAATAAAAATCAGCTAATGAGGATTGGTTCAGTTGGTAAGTAAGGTTATGTATAGCCCTATCAATGTTCTAGTCTCGCTGCTAACAATCCTCATTAGTGCGCAATCTGTAATTTCTTATATAAATCTATACTGGTGATAGCTGACAGTTGGGTGCCACGCGCAAGTTCTACTGCTGGTGGTGAGAATAGCCAATCTCTCTCTAAATTTTCTTCACTAAAAAAAAAAAATGCTCAAAATAAAATTGTGGAGGAGGAGCTACGTAGTTCACCAAACGCAGGAATGAACTCATTGCTTGCACCACGCATCAATTGACACATACCCCCCGAGGTGTACAGCACACACTGGTGGTACAGAGCGTGGGGATGCACGGAGTGTACAGACTACCAGACCCTAACAACAAATGGCAAACCAGTAAATACTGGACAACCAGTGGTCAAACTCGGTAACCCCCAATCAAAGTCCGCCATTTTCCCGGTTGGCGAAAATTCAATGCCCCCGCGTTTCAGAATTAAATGTTCGTTGGGGTAGTTGCATCCTCCCGGCCCCCTATCCCCTCCTTCCCTCTCCTCACGCCTTTTAAAACCACCACACAGCTCTCCCTTCCTCTCTACATTAATGCTCCCACCAACACTTATATATATACAAGTTGTATTTCTCATTTCCACCATCAAAACTTCTTAGAGAGTTTCTTTGCCTCTTGCAACTTGTTAAATTTAGTGTTCTGACTGCGTAAAATGGCGGTACAGGATCAGAACCAGGAAGGGAAGTCAAACTTAGGACCTGAATCGTCGGGAGGGCGTAAAGCTCTTCCGAACTTTCTTTTATCAGTGAGGCTCAAGTATGTCAAACTTGGGTACCACTACTTGATCTCTAATGCCGTCTACTTCTTACTAGTCCCTTTGATGGCCGTAGCGTCGGCCCATCTCTCAACGCTAACCCTCGAGGACTTCGTCCAATTATGGCACCAACTCAAGTTCAACTTTGTGTCAGTCACTTTGTGCTCAGGCCTCTTGGTTTTCTTAACCACCCTCTACTTCACCACCCGCCCAAGAAAAGTTTACTTGATGAACTTCGCTTGTTACAAGCCCGAGTATGCTATCACGTGCACACGTGAGCTGTTCATGGAGAGGTCTAAGATGACAGGCAGCTTCTCAGATGAGAACTTGGCTTTTCAGCAAAAGATTCTTGAGAGGGCCGGGCTGGGGCAGAAAACCTACATGCCCGAGGCCGTGATGCGGGTCCCGCCGAACCCGTGTATGGGCGAGGCGAGGAAAGAGGCGGAAATGGTGATGTTTGGTGCCATTGACGAGTTGCTGGAGAAGACTGGGGTGAAGCCTAAGGATATTGGGATTTTGGTGGTGAACTGCAGCTTGTTCAATCCGACGCCGTCTTTGTCCGCCATGGTTGTGAATCACTACAAGCTTAGAGGGAATATTGTGAGCTACAATCTTGGTGGGATGGGTTGCAGTGCTGGGCTGATTTCTATTGACCTTGCCAAACAGCTTCTCCAGGTTTGTTATTTCTGGCCTTTTTCTATTTATTTTTTGGTTAATTAAATATAAAATATTTGTTTAGTTTAATTACCATGGATAAGGGATGCTTGTGTTTGTTACGCTTAAATACTCCTAGAATATATATCAACTAAATACCAACAAAATATCGACAAGTATCAAATGCAATCTTTTAATATATATATATATATATATATATATATGTACACCTGAAAAGCTGAAATTATCATCAATTTACCACGTACTGTAAATTAATTACTCGGCATCAAATAATCTGTTTTTATATATCCAACATGTATAATAAAATGGAACAATAAATTAAGAAATTTTTAGTAATTAAAAAAAAATTCAACTCTCTCTCATGTGCATTGGATTGGATTGGTGATGTATATGTTGCGAGTATAGATAGATTTCACCTCAAATATAGAAAACTCCAAAAAAAAAAAAAAAAAAAAAAAAAAAAAAAAAAAAAAAGATAAAAATAAAAAGTCAAAGTGATACGTAAATGAGTAATTTTTATCTTCTGTGTACACCAACACCTTCAAATACACATGGAACATGAGGAAATATTAGGATAATAAAATAAAATATTTTCATACGTCCCATGTATATTGGATGGTACACTAGCAACATACAAAAATTTCTCCAAATTATTGGTTCATAAGAGCACTTCCACAAGTAGGCATGCGCTGGCAAAAGGCTAACCAGGCAGAAATGGATCTATAGCGATATAAAATAGCCTAGGTAAGGATGGTATGGGCTCCATCAAACCTTAGCAAGCCCGAAGGCAAGAACAACCCGAGCTGTTGCCTGAGGACTATGACATCACGCTAACGTCAACGAAGAAAAAAATTTTAAAAATTTGAAAAAAGTATGAAATATTACCAAAAAACTCAGAATAAATTATATATATATATATATATATATACATATCTAGTCATTTTTTTATTATTATTGATCTTACACATATAAATAAAATTATTCCTATGTGAATAGTAATTTCTCTTGAGTTGCCATGACAAGGGGTGGAAAAAGCAACAAAAATATTGCTAGAGCAGAGACTATTGGCGTGAACAGTAATCGCCCCTACTTGCGCTTGCCCTTTGCCATGACAAAGGGATCGAAGTGCTCTAAATGTGTGGTAATAAATGTTATACTGTAACAACCAACATTTGAACCAATTTTTAAAGCAGTGGTGCACAACTTGCCCACATGTCCAGCTGGTACATGGGATGTCATTAAAAGGACGTTTTGGTGTGCAATTGGCGTCATAAATAGATAATTAATGGACTTGCAACTGAAATATACACAAAACTAAACACAAGGATTTAATTTTCCTGGTCTACCTTTTAGGTATGTTCATATTTATATAGATTAAAATTAAGATTGTAAATTAATAAAATCATGTCTAAAGTATGTCATTTGTTTGCAACCTAAACTGATGTAGAAGGCATGTTGTGTAACAGGTGCACCCAAACTCTTATGCCCTAGTGGTAAGCATGGAGAACATCACCCTCAATTGGTACTTCGGCAATGATCGCTCAATGCTTCTCTCCAACTGCCTCTTCCGATTGGGCGGTGCAGCCATCCTCCTCTCCAACCGTTCCTCTGACCGCCGCCGCTCGAAGTACCAACTCATGCACACTGTCCGCACCCATAAAGGTTCAGATGACAAAGCATACAACTGTGTTTTCCAAAAGGAAGATGACACAAAAAGAGTCGGTGTTGCTCTCTCAAAAGACTTGATGGCTGTTGCTGGAGAAGCCCTTAAAACCAACATCACCACACTTGGCCCAATAGTCCTACCCATGTCAGAGCAACTCCTCTTCTTTGTTACTTTGGTGGCAAGAAAGGTGTTCAAGATGAAGAATATCAAACCCTACATCCCGGATTTCAAGCTGGCGTTCGAACACTTCTGCATTCACGCCGGTGGGAGAGCAGTGCTGGATGAGATGGAGAAGAACCTTGAGCTCAGTGAGTGGCACATGGAGCCTTCGAGAATGACACTTTATCGGTTTGGGAACACTTCAAGCAGCTCTTTGTGGTATGAACTGGCTTACACTGAGGCCAAGGGGAGAGTAAGGAAGGGTGATAGGATGTGGCAGATTGCGTTCGGGTCAGGTTTCAAGTGTAACAGTGCTGTGTGGAGGGCTTTGAGGACTGTTAATCCAGCTAAAGAGAAGAACCCTTGGATTGATGAGATTGATCAATTTCCTGTTGATGTGCCTAAAGTGGCCCCATGCAAGGCTTCTTAATTAACTAAAACCTCATTCTTTGGGGGAAGATACTGTTAACTGCATGAGCACTGTATGTTTATAACTCATTCAGCGTTTGGTGTTTCTCATTTAATGTAATTTTTTCATAATGTTTGGTTGTTACGAAAACATAACAATACAAATGCCTAGAGATCCAAAACCAGGTCCCCCAAGTTCTACAGCAACAGAGCAATGAACAGGGGGGACAGAGCTTACAACAGATTACAAGTGTCTCAGATCAAAACTGTAAACTTAATAAATAAACTAAGAACTTGTCAGACGATGAAGTTTTCTTCTTTGTTTATTTTTAGGTACTGTTCATACTTACGATCAACAAAATAGTGTTACTAATTCTACGGTTACGTTGCCTATGATAATTTTTAACAATCTCCCGGACGAGAACATCGCAGTCGCTATTGTTTGTGGGTTCCATCAAACAAGCCCGAAAATAAATATACAGGAATTTGAACAAAAGTCTCAATCTAAGAAAGTTGACTGGAAAAAGAAGTTCATACAGATTAAATATAGTATACATTAAAATCAGAACCAAAAGATATGTACACATACACTAGTGTAGACTCTGATTCACACAAATACACTTCCAAATTACTACACGTAAGAGAGCATTTGAATAACCACATGAGATTCTTACTAATTGTTGCTACGTCATCGGGTACATAGATTGGATCATAGACTTGTTAGCAGAGGATCAATCCAATAACTTTATAAAGGGGCAAATCACCGGAGGATACAATATTTGGTTACATTCCCCAAACACCACGGGCTGCTGCCACTTTGTTGTTTGGTCTAGACGTCAGTTCATACAAAATCCTGGCAAAGGTATCGGAATACCTGGCATCTGAGAATACTATTTCAGCAAATGCATTCTCATAAGCTAGCAGCAAGGCTCGGTTTTGTGGCTCAGACACAAGACTTTCCAATATCATAGCAGCTTTCCTGCAAACTTCGGGAACTGGATGGGGTGCCTTGATAACTTTTAACAGTCTATCAATTGCCCTGCAATTTTGTAAAGTTTAAACAGAAATGTCCTTTCAGCAACAAATTTTCATTTCCAAACTCATGATCGAAATTCTTGATCTTGAATTATTTATTATGTGGATATTTTTTGGTGGAAGAAGAGCCCTCACCATCGCTCACTAGCTAGTTTTAGCCTGCAGTCCATATTAACTTCAGCAAGGTTGTAGAGTGCGCCAACTGCAGCCGCTTGTGCCCCATGTGCTGTTTGTACATCTACTGATGGTAAGCTCATAAGATCAACCAATCGCTTATGTATCTGCAGTGTTCATTTAGCCTCAGATACAATCTTCGCACAATGTAAAAACACGTTTATAACAGGGGAGTTTCTGAATATTAACCTGTGGAACAAAGGGAAGAAGGAAAGGTTCATTATCAGGGTTTATGATCAGACGCCCAAGTAGCTCAGCTGCAGCACAATGCCAGGTTTTGACTACAGATCCCAGCATCCCCATGATAGCTTGAACTGCTCGTTTTCCTCTGTTTGATAGAAAATTAATTAATTAATCAAACAGAATTTGGAAACAAAGGGAGCTTAAGATAGAATAACAAAATAAAATAAAAGTAGATCAGAATTCTAACGTTATCTTGATGTAGGATGGCTTTGATGAGCTGAAAATTCCAAGATCAAGCAACGGAGCCAAATTTACAATTGTCTCAAGAGCATTTGTCACAAGTTCCTCATCCTCTGTTAACATAGGGAGCATTAGAGTCATTCCATTATAAAAGCATAACCACAGAAGCATCGAAGAAATATTTAGCATCATTTCATACTCGAAGGTAGTTCCCTTGTTCTGAAAAGTATCTCAAATAGGAAAAAAGATATGAATCCCCAAATATGAAAGAAGTATACAAGCAGAAAAGCTCCAAACCAAATTTCAAAATGGATTACGCCTACAAAATTAACACTGCCAGTAAAATATGTCCGTAACAGAAAGAAGTTTAACATCACCCTTTTTATTAAGCTACAACATTGGAAAGTTGAATGCAAAGAAGAGCTATACATTCTTATCAGTGAGCAGGCTTAAAAGGATATTGTGGTACTTGTATAAGTGATTACCCACAACAAAATCACACCATTGAGTTTTGTAACTGGACATTACTTTGAACTTTTTAATGGAATCCTAAAGTTGAGCTAAAAATTTATATACTGAAGACTGACTGCATATAAATAATGCTTTACAAGACAATGTTTCTCACCTGTAAGGTAATCTTCTATGCACTGGAACACTGTTTCCAGACAATGGCGATGCTGGGCCATAATGACTTCATTATCTGGCATGAAAGAGAAGTTGCGAATGATATTGGAAGCAGCAACAGCACACTGCTGTCTTTCTGCTCGACCTTCTTCATCTAGATTAAACAGACCATCTTCATCAAGCCACCACTCTGAAGAAGAACGAAGTTTGGTCACATTACTCAGCACCGATGCTTCTTGAGAACTGGATCCCAAGCTACCATGTGAATATTGCCAAAATCAGGTCTAGAATTACTCGTATCAAAGATGATTTTAGACATTCAAACTGGAAATTCACACATGAGAAGACCATAAACCTGTAGGGCTTACCCAGGAAGTGGGAGAGTGCCATTTGAAGCTAATGCCTCGTACTCATTTCCAAACCCAGTTACAAGCAAATTTGCACCCAAATTTCTGACTCTCGGCGCCTTTACGTGTTCCTTCGGAAGGGCTATATCACGCCAATCATCAATCTGTTAATCACAACAATGTAGTGTCAATAGATATTGTCAGGAACAAGATAATGCAAAACTTGGGCAATGCTATTATTCCCACTCCTAATTGTTCATCTGCACTCCAAGATGTGTGTGCTGTAAAGTAATAATATTATTGAATTTAAAGTGCAGGATGACCAACTGAGAGCTGCCCAAAACTTCAGCATAAAAAATAAAATTGCAGATATCAGAAATTAAAGGAGTGCACGACATACAACACTGAGGAGAGCATCAAGCAAGCCAGGAATCTTTGCAAGAGGGGTTGTGTCTTTGCGCATGTCATCTTTTTCTTTGAAAGAGAGTAATGTGAGAGTGTTCAATGCCCATGTCAACTCACTCTTCAGCCCACTCTGAAGAGCCAGAACTATCCTTTTATTGTTCTGATCTGCAATGTAGATGGTATGTATTGGTAAGAAGGTCCAACAATACTCAAAAGCAAACTTCTCACCTCCTGTGATTGATACCCTTTTCAATAAGTTTACATATTTCCATGCTGTGCTACCCAGTTCCCCAAAAATTGTTCCTTCACTTTCATTTTTCTTTCATTTACAATTTGGCAATTCAATTATCGGAATATATGGTTTGTTTATAGCCAAAATAACTTAAAAATTACAAATATCTAAAACTTCTAAACAAATTGCAAACAATTTTAGACTGAAATGCAATGCGGTTTAGGGTTTTGACAAACTGACCGGCGAAGGAACTGTGGACGTGGAGGGAAGGACCGAGGAGAGTCGACGGAGCTGCCGTTTCGGCGGCGGCGGCAGCCGCAGCTGCGGCGCTATTCCCGCCGCTTCCGAATGGGCGGCCTCTTTTCGCCGGCGGCGCCGAGGCCCCGCCACCCACTCCACCTGACTTGCTCTGCTCCCTCTTCTGCATCTCTCTCTCTCCTTCTCTCGCTGGTATTTTGCTTGCTTGATTTTGGGATCGTATTTTAATTTTAGGGCAGGTAAAATAATTTTGACCCGTGTCCGCCCCGTTATTTATTGGGCCTAAATGGGTTGTTGGGCTATGTTTTGACTTGGCCGTGACCCACTGAGTAAAGTTTTCAATAAAAAAGGTGCGTATGCACTTTTCATAGCTTTTTGTTTTTGTTTTATTTTTATATAAATATTTTTTGATACAAGCTATAATGCTATATCTACTCTCAGAGAGTTTTTTATTTAAACTGCGCACTTTTCTTTGTTCACCTCATTTTCTAAGTTCACTCCAACTTCTAATTCAAATTTTCACAATTTCTAAGAAAACTTCTCTATTTTACCAAACTATCCCTAAATACACACCGAGAAAAAGAAAAAAAAAAAAAAAAAAAAAACAACCTCACAACCCCACACCCACTATCAAATGAATCGACAAGTTCTTTCTTATTGTCAATGCGATCTTGAAATGGACTATACCAATCAAATTCTTGGGGGTTGGAATGATTATGTCTAATCAAATGTTTATAGATTTGGACCCTTACACAGACCAACATTCATCATTCTTTGCGCATAGAACATGATAAAGAATTTGAATCTCTACCAATAACATGTTTACTGTGGATTTTCATATCATTTTGAGGAAACAAACAAGTAATTTTTACATGATCATTTGATTGCTGGTAGGATAGCCAGGCCAGCACATGGCATGAGATGGACCGTGCTAAAAAAGAAGAGCTGCAACTATTATTTTTTCGGGAAATAACAGAGCGGTGGTCTCTATTTTTGGTAACAAAGAGTTGTTGGCTATCCTTATATGCTCTTTATTTAACCGCAACAACAATTACTTGCTTAATTTGAAGAAGACGAGTGATGGGGTGTGTATATAGATGTACTAGAGTTAAGTATTAAGTTTGATGACTTTTTTTTTTGTCTTTTTACGCAATAATAAAACTTAAGAACTTAATTTAAATATTGGGGTAAACAAAAAAAAGTGTGGGGTTTAAATAGAAAAACTCATACTCTTAACGACTTAAACTACAAACAGCTTGCGACTACTTCTTTTGAAGAGAGCAACGAAACCCTATAAATGCCTTAAACTCAGAAGAACCTTGCAAATTTCAGCCTTGCCAAACTTCCTACTAGAGCTAGTCTTCAACATCCTTGTACATGTGTGTCCAAAGCGTGGAATGCCACCATCCATGACCAACAGTTCATCAAAGCCCATCTCAAACACTCCATCACCACCAACTCTGCTTGCACCATTTTAGTGAAGTCATTTGACAAGCGCAAACTCTTTTTAGTGCCGTTTAACAATGACGAGACGTTCAGGGCAACCGTCAAAATTAAGTTGCCGTTTCAACACCCTCACCTCGTCGACATGTTGGGCTACTCTGTTCATGGTTTGGCTTGCATTTGCCGCGTAGACGATATTGCTTTGTGGAACCCGTCCATTCAAAAGTTCAAGATGGTTCGCGTCACGTCCCAACGATTTTGCCGTCGGAAAACGAATGAAATTGCCAATCAAGCTCTGCTCTAGAGAATTGATGAGCCATCCCTTTACAATAGAGTTCTCGGTGCGCCAGCGAGGAAACGTTGGAGCGGTCAAAGGAGGTTGTGGAAGATCACCATTAATATATCCCAATTTGTCTTTGCCGGAGATATACAACTCTACAACTTGGGACCATAGGGCATAGTTGGTGCCATCCAACTTTATGCCAATCTGTGCAGCGGAAGCTTCATAGGTAATCGTCGTCGGAATCGTTGTCTGATTCGGGTTCAAGGTCGTCGTCTGATTCGAGGTCGGGGTCGTCGTCTGAGTCGAGGTCGGGGTCGTCTTGGTAGGATCCTGGGTTAGGATCAAGTTCGAGGTCTGAGTTTGCATCTGCATTAGTTGAGCCACCTGGGCACTCAACTCGGCTATGGTTGGTTGAGAAGGAAAGGAGGAAGCAGTGGTGCTACCGCCATGAGGGTTAGAAGAGTCATCCTCCCCCATGGTAGCGGCTAGGGTTTAGAAACTAGAGTCAGCAATCCCAAGATCGCCGCTCTGATACCATGCTAAAATATGATAACTATGATAGAATATTTGTTTGTGGGAATTTTCTGTGTATTCTTCTCCTTGTAGGAGGTCATATTTATAATACAATAAAACCTGAATGGGCAAGTAAATAATAGATTCCTAAATCTATTTACAGTAGGAAATCAGGAATTAAAGTAAATCAATTACAATTATAATAGGAATCCTTGGTGTGTAAGGAAAGTAAGTCAATATCCACAAATCACGCCAACAGATGTATCTTACTCAAACAGTATAACCAATTCAATGCCTAAAAAGAGCTATCTTCTTCTACTCGCCAAAATGAGACTGGACAACAGTAACCTTTTCTTTTACATGGTAATTCGGACTGTTTAGGATATGCTAAGATACCATATTGCAAATGTAAAAGGACCCTAAATATACTAAGGGCCCGTTCAATAACCATTTCAATTTTAGTTTTTAGTTTTCATTTTTTGTGCTAGAGGATAGAGGAAAATGAGAGTGAGAATTGGGGTGAGGATGAGATTGAGAGAGAGGATGAGATGGGAGGATGGGAGAGGGGAGTAACAAAAGTGAAAACAAAAACTTGAAAGTGGAAACAAATTGAAATAGATTTCAGTTTTTAGTTTTTGTTTTCACTTTTGTTACTCATCCCTACCATCCTCCCCTCTCATCTTCTATCTCGATCTCATCTCCACTCTCATTCTCACTTCCATTCAACCTCTTTTTCCTCTATATTCTAACATAAAAAATAAAAACTAAAAACTAAACTTGAAATGGTTATCAAACGGACCCTAAGTTTTTAAAGTGAGTGCCAAAAACGATCATCTATTTATGCTAACTTCGACTATATTAGCTCATCATATGCTGAAATGATGCTGAGATTAGTAAATATAGTTGTGAACAAAGAAAAAAATACAACCCAACCTGGAGTAACTCCCAACCGGCACCATCTCCAAGATCCAGGAACTTCACAGCATCTAATAGCCGGTCATCTGCTAAACAGTACCTGCCAAAAGGGGTCAAAGGGAAGAAAATAAGCACCTGAGGCAGAAACATCCCAAAACCTGCAAAGAAGGTCTTAACTTTAAAAGTAAGAAAAAATTCAAAAAGTATAATACAAATGTAACACGAGCACACTTTTGTCTTATTCTACATAGACTCAATGAAAAATAAAGACACAGAATCAAAGACAATTAATGTTTAAAAGGTCTTTACCAGTCCATTGATACATTTTAACCCCTGCATTGTTCATCTTTTATATTGTAGTGCAGCAAATCTCCCTAAACATAACTATTATTCCAGCAACAAAGCAGATTAGTAAAACAAGACTTCATTGGACATACAGAAAATGGTAGCTCCATCAGATCAGACTGTAGAACAACTGAGATCACACTAAAAATATCTCCATCTATACTTTCTCCTCCTTATTTCTCTCTGTAATGTCTCTGCATTACACCAATCCCTACTCTTCTTCTCTTTTTTTCTCGGGTTGTTCTACCAACTATTAACTTTGTCTATCTACAACCCACCACAAACATAGCAGTATCCACTTTGTGTTTTCCCACAACAATCAATCATACGAGAAAAAGGAAACTATCAACTAAAATCAAAAGAAAAGGTATGGTAACATTATAGCTTACTTGCAAGGAAAGTCCGTCCATTATGCCTGCTTCACAGAATGGAACAAATGCTAAGTATGCCAAGAGAAGACCTGCTTCATATCTGCATGGAGATCATAAAAAGATAGCGTAATGAATATGAGGTGAATTCGAACTTCTGAAATGAAGCCAAAGTGCAACAAATTACATGTCATCTGATATTCCAAAGGCTCTTTTTTCCATAGGAGTGAAGGCACCGGCAGTAGATGCTCTTCTCCAAAGTCCCTCCGATAGTAATCCAGGACCCCCTTCTAGATTTGAATACCTAGAAAACAATGTGTTTGGATATGCAACTGTTAAGGTACAGATGACCTACTGTTATTCAATAAATCCTCATATGCCTTTCTTTAATAAATAGATAATTGTATATGTAAATTGCGGTGAATCATAAATAAATAATGGCATTTTGATTCACAAATAAATTAGATTATACAAACTCATTGGAGTGTTGAGTAAAAAAAAAAAATGACTCCACGTTTATATCCTTACTTTAAAAATATTATTAATTAACCTTTAAAAATTACTATTTTCCTTTTGATAAATTGAACCTTTTGATAAATTGAAGAGACTCAACAACAACATTTCCTTCTGCATGCTCCTTTGTTACCTCCTCCTTTGTCCGTTGGTAGATTAAAAGACAGGACCTCAACAATTAAAATATTCAAAGAATCACTTGGCCAAGGATTGAAATTTGGCCAAAGCACCAAAATTTTGATTAAGCATAGATTACACATACAAAAAATATTACAAAAGCAAATATATTATATGACAGTTAGCATACCCAATGTCTACAGAAAAGGCTAGATCCCGAAGTCGTGGGACCAAGTAAGCAGCATCTCTCTCTGTAATTGTGCTGCCAGCAGTTGAAAAGTTTAAGCAGATTATAGCAGAGAGAAGATTCATAAACTAATTATTTAGATGAAGCACTGTCTTGAACAAAACTGGATATCTCTAAGCAACATACTTCAGAATAACAGAAGCTGGTCCAAGACTCTGGTGCAACCTGTCATGATCATGCATGTAAGCCAGACCTCTCATAATGCCCTGAAGCAGCTTGGTAACAAAATATCTTCTGCGTTTGATTGTTTCCTCTTGCTCAAATTTATTCCAAACTCCCGCTGCACGGTTTCTTGACACTTTTTCACTCATAACTTTAGCATAATCTGCGGCACTAGATTTCCCGTGATTACGAAAAGCAAGCCACTGCACATGATAAATTTCTTCATTCATTCATTGTCGCTACCAAAAGAATTAATAAACACTTTGTATAAGCAAAGTCTTGAGAAATAATTTCACACAACAAACCTGCTCTCCAGTTTTCGTTTCAAACCCACCTACGAGTATTGCAAGATTCTGACAGATGCCATTTGAACTGTTCTGAAAAAAAAACACGCGTAATTATTATGGTGGTTTATAAATTTAACATTTTCGAACGTTGATATTATACAACTTTTACTTTTGTATTTTCTGTATCCTTTATATTTTAAATAATAAAAAAACTGCTAAAAAAAAGTTACTTTTTTTTAATATAGGGCTATTTTAATACAATGTTTAAGCCCATTTTACAAAACCCAACCCGTTAGTTATATGAAAAATTAGGTTATATATCTTCTTCTTCCCAGCGCAGCCTGCGCTCCTTCGTCTCCGTGTTCCGACTTCATCTCTCTTTCTCGGTCTTTCTTCATGCAGTGCCTCAGTGCCACCTCAAGCGTCGACTCCTCAACGGCAAAACGCCAGCCCAGACCAGGCCAGGCGGGCTAGGCGGGCTAGGCGGGGGCTAGGCGCTCTAGGCGGGCTAGGCGGGGGCTAGGCGGGCGCTAGGAGGCCTGGGCTGGGGCTAGGAGGGCTAGGCGGGCGCTAGGCGGCCTCGGCGGGAGCTAGGCGGCCTAGGCGGGCGCTAGGCGGCCTAGGCGGGCGCTAGGCGGCCTAGGCGGGCGCTAGGCGGCCTAGGCGGGGGCTAGGCGGCGCCCAACTCCCTGGCGGCTACTCCTTACGATTAGGATGAAATCGCAGCGGTGGCCTCCCGCCTGGCACCTTGAATGTATCGGTTTGAAATGCTGATCAAAGCTATGCACCTTGCGTAGGAAATCGACTTCCGAAAGATGGTTCTCTCCAATGACACGTAAACACATGTCATGCTATCACTTCCATATAGTAAATATAAATTTAACCTGCCATTTAATGAAGTTGAATTACAATATGAGAGAGAAGAAAAAGCGAGTTGAATTCCAATAGCTGTTAATTGAAGCAGTTTCCCAAATAATTGATGGCCTCGTTCTCATTTCATCCATCTCTCTGCATAATTTCATTTTGATGCTTCTAAAACAAATTAAAGCATGGAGTGGAGTTTATCACATTCTGCTCTCACATGGCTCCTGGTAATATCCATAACACCAGGGCAGCCACAGAGGGCCATAGTGAGCTCAAACTCATCTTTCAGCATTTCGATAACCTGTCTCACGCCGCGTTCTCCTTTTGCTGCAAGGCCATAGATTACAGGCCTTCCAACCTGCAGCAACATTAGCCTGTATTTCAATAAGAAAATCCAAAATAATACAAGCAGTTTAAGGGTTCATATCAGAAGGGCAGCTTTCAAGGCTCGGATAAGGAGGAGAAAAATCTAGCAACAGAATGAGCCCTGGCCCCAACAAAATCCTTGAAAAGCAGCCCTTAATGCACGTTCACAGCATAACCCTCAGGATATGCCATTTGTGCTCACTGGTTTATTCCATCTCTTGGAGTCTTTGAGCCCTTATCTAACTCGTGCCGGTCCATCATTGAAACACAAGCAGGAGCATCTATACATACTAGAAGAAGTATACTTGTCAAATAAACAAAGCAGTCATAGGGCTCCTCTTTCTTGGCAGGCACTGGTGACTGATGCAGCTACAAAAGTACAATCACTTTCACTGACCTGCCAAAGAAGAGTTGCCCTACGATTGCTTTGGCTTAATGAAATTTGCAGCCTGTCTGATCATGCAGTAGAGCCCTGTCATGCAAAACGTAGGCTAGCCAAGGATATACGTAGGGTTTTGTCATATTTGAAAATAATGCTAGAGGTAGAGCTATAATACTGAAGTTATTTTTGTTGTACAAAGTTGTTCTGTTTTGTCATATCTGAATTATTTGTTTATTTGTTTATTTGTTTCATTTTCTTCATGTCTGTTATGTGTTTTCAACTTTTGAAACTTTACCTAGTTATATGTTCTTACAAAGTCTGAATTCAATCTCCGCCAGCCGAAGAGGTTATGCTAATCTTTTATTTTGCTTTTGTTTTTTTTATCAAGTCATCCCACACTTTCTTTTCTATTTTTTTCTGTCTTCTTTCTCTGGCTAAACCCATAACTTATTACTAGTCTACATACTCAACGACTTTGTTCACCATTTTTTGAAAATGATTTTTGAAAAAATATTGAGTTTGGACCTTCACTCTCAGTTCTAGTGTAGTAGTATGTGTATATATTGCACTATTCTAAATGAGTTATATTGCTCACACACATCACCTATTAAGATATAATCTCATGGACGAAGCCATGAGAATTGTTTCATTTTTCAGATTTCTAAGCATTGCAACCATTACTACCATTAGCTTATGCAATGGAAATTTGGATGTGCCTTGTAAACAAAATGAGAGACAAGCACTTCTAATGTTCAAGAAAGATCTTGAATATCCTTCAAATAGGCTTTTATCTTGGGTTGGTGAGGGAGATTGTTGCAATTGGACTGGAGTTGTCTGCAACAATTTAACCGGTCATGTCCGTGAGCTGCACCTTGGAAATTATTATTCAGATGAGTATCTGAATTACAGCTTGTATCAAGAAAACTCTTTGGGTGGCAAGGTAAACTAAATTTAAAGCATCTGAGCTACTTTGATCTAAGCAACAATGATTTTGGAGGAATACAGATTCCTAGCTTCTTAGGTTCTCTTAGAAGTTTAAGATATCTTAACCTCTCAGACTCAAAGTTCGCTGGAATAATTCCGCATCAATTGGGAAATCTCTCGAGTCTACGCTCTCTAGGACTCCGGAGTAAAAGCTACTACTCGATGAAGGTTGAAAATCTCCAATGTCTTTCTGGTCTTTCGAGCTTGCAGAACCTGGACATGAGTCGTGTAGATCTTAGCAAAGCATCTGATTGGTTTCAGGTGACAAACACACTCCCCTCTATGTTGGTAGAGTTGCATATGTCCGGTTGTGAACTCAATCAAATACCAGTTGGTGTTGCAAACATGACAAGGCTTGAAGTTCTTAATCTCAGGTTGAACATCATCTGGGGTACCATACCTCAATGGTTGTGCACTTGTACCAATCTTGAGTCCCTATCCCTTTATTTGAATCTCTTGCGAGGTGAAATTTCAAGTTCCATTGGAAACTTGACAGCCATTGTCAGTCTTGACTTGTCTGCTAATCAACTTAAAGGAAAAATCCCAAACTCATTGGGAAATCTTTGTAAGTTGACGGTTCTTGATCTGTCAAGGAACTATTTCAATGGAAGCCTATCAAAAATATTGGGAAGCTTGTCAAGGTGTAGTTCAGGTCAAATGGAGTCACTGAAGCTGTCAACAAATGATTTTTCAGCTGGGAAATTTCAGACATTTACGCCTCCTTACTCTTTTGAGTAATTCTATATCAGGTCCAATTCCAGTGTCCTTGGGAAATCTGCCATTCCTAGAAGAGGCAAGCATTTCTGTAAATCATTTTAATGGAATTCTTCCATAAACTATTGGTCAACTGAAAATGGTAATGTGGTGTCTTATGTGAAGAGTATAGCCGGCCGGCTATGATATTTATTAAAAAAAAGGGAAATGCACGTACATACTCACAAACCAGAAATCTTAATCAAGAATACTCACTTTGCAAATATTAACCACAAATACTCACTTCCTCATGTGAAAGTACTAAACTGCCCTTCATATAAATAGATATTATATTGACCATGTATCCTTCTCTGAAACCCAATTCCTCCCAACTCTTCTTTCCTCTCTCGCAGTCCTCTGTCATCCCCATCGCACATCTAGAACGGCGAATCAATTCATAGCATTATAGCACATTTGGAAGAAAGGCATAACGCAAGAAGATCGTTTTCAAAATTTCTAGAGAATGGTAATGACAATCTTCTCTCTTCTAAATCCCTAGTTTTCTTGTTTTTCTTTTTATGTACTTTTATTTCATTATTTTGTCAAAATAAGTAATTTAAGTTTGCAAAATTAAGTCGTTAGGGTTCCTAATATTACAACTCATATTCAACTCAAAACTTTTGCATTTGTTGTCTTCAGATTTATTTGTTCCTAACTCTGTGATAATTTTATTTTTTTTTCCAACGAGTTACATAATTAGTAAGCCACCACATGACCCACCCAACTACAGAGATTGATCACCAATTGCAAGTAATTAATTGGGTTTCAGTTGCTGGCATTCTTTATTTGTGAATATTTGTCCTTTTTCTAGAGAACTTTGATAGTTTTGTGTTGATTCCCACAGTATCATGGGTCCAATGTTATATCCTTCTACCCGGTATGTAAGTCTTAATTTGTGTCTTTGTGTCTTATTCAAAATGCTATAAAATTATAATAAAGTTTGGACATACTGGTTGTCGATGGACTTTGCTGAGTTGATTTTTGCAAAAATAGTTGTGAGTAATGTCCAATTATAAATAATGAAATTTGCTAAGTTTTTTATGAAGCTTCCAAATTATATTGTCCAATTTCTAAATAATGATCAACTTTCGTTGATGAAGTTTCCAAATAATGTCCAATAATATTGTAGTTGGTCATTCCCTTAATAGATTATACACATCATACTTGATAGTAACTGATCTTTAGGAATTTTTATGCACTTTCTATTTTCATTTTGTAGGTTATCTAGGTGAGTGTAGAGCTAAAGTTGCAGAGCTATCAAATTTGGTCGTCTAGTAAGTGATTAATGTTTAGGATATTACGAATTCCCATAGTTTCATAGTCATCGATGACAATTGATACGGAAAACTATATTTTGATTCTCAATTTTCATTTGCTTGAGTTGGTTTTATGGATGTGGCCAGTTAACTTCGTATGATATAGAAACCAAGGGGTGTACAATGCTCATAGTATGAAGTTTGAATGGTTTGATTGTGTTGGCCGTAGGAATTTCATATGTAAGAGGGCATGAATGTCTTGTGAGAAGAACTGTAATTTATGTACGAAGCTTTGGTCATACAATACCAAATGTTATAAACTAAATTATTCTAGGGAAATTGACTTACGTAGTCACTAAAGATAAACCTTAATCAGAAATAATCACTTTATAAAACTTAACCACAAATACTCACTTTCTAACTTGAAAGTACCAAATTACCCTCCATATAAATACTTCAATATTCACCCTCTCAAAAATTTATTTCTGATCTGAACCCAACTCTCTAGCTCTTCTCTCCTTGCCGCACGTAGAGCAGCTGAGACCAGCACCTTAATTCAAGAGGAGACCACGCCCACCCCTCAAAAGCCTACACAAAGAAGAAACATAAGAAATAGAAAAGGACGCATCAACAACAGCAACCCGCTAGACCCGTTGCCACCAGGTGCTCTCTTCTGATCCTTTGTCCCTTTGAGTTCTAAGCTAATTTTCCCCTTCTTTAATACCCAGGAATCATTTTGCAAAGTAACACAACAAATAAAAATCAAATCTTGATTTTCTTTAGCATAGAAATAGGTAAGTTAGGTCAGTTTTTGCTTCAATTTTGATTTTTAGGGGTTTGGCTTCTAATCCTGTTTGTTTGAAAGGAAAGGAAATAAGTTTTTGGAAAAAAATTCACGAGCAAATAATTTGCAATTTGAGAGTAAAAGGACTGTTTTTTTATGTAATTCATTCTATTTTGAATTTTGAAATAGGTTTCATAGCTCACTTTATACACCATACAAGTTCACCAATTCTGCATTGGTTTCATTGCTTTTGGCTTTTTGAACACTCTCGAGAGTGCACTAGTAAGGGTGATGAAGAATTTTATAGGTTGCTTCCAGACCAATGCATGGCTTTGTTTTGTAATTGCCAATATATATGTATATATGCCAATAAATTTGATGGTATGCAACCCTTGTTTGTAATTTTGAGTTTTAAGATATTTGTCCCCTTCTTCAATACCCATAAAGCATTTTGCACAAAATAACACGAAACATAAAAATCAGATCTTAAGTTTGTCTAGCCTAGAAATAGGTTAGTGAGGTTAGTTTTTCCCTCAATTTAGATGCTTAAGTGTGAAATTTTAGGTCTTTGAATTGGATTTGACTGACATTCTGGGTTAGGTTAGTTTTGCTAAGAACTTAAGTTTTCTATTTTGATTTCTAATTTGGTAATGTAAAGAAATGAGTATACCTTATGATGGGGATGCAAATAGATTGATTTATTGATGTTATTTGCAGAAATGGAGACTGTTGGCATATTGGTATTCTACAATGGAAGCTGGGTTCACAAGGATAACATTGAGAGTTATGAAGGTGGCGAGGCTAAAGGCATAATAGTATCACGGAACGTAACCTTTTCTGAGCTTGTTGACCGCATTTATAAGATCACGAATGCAGATCTCAACAAATATAGTCTCACACTGAAGTATTCAGTTCCTCTATCATCATCTGCCCATAAGCACCTAAAGGTTGAAGACAATGATGACGTTCAATATTTTCTGAAGTACAGCACGGACGTTATGACCTCTAGAGTAACCCCTTTATTAGCAACCCTCAAAGTTATAGAAGGACATGGTATTCATGGCTGCAATGGCATTGTAAGCATTGGGAATAGCAATGCTCCCCTTGCAGTTGTTGTGAGAGATAGGAATGAGGTAATTGGGGATAGTGGAACTGAAAATGGTGTAACTGGTTTTAATTGGAAAGATTGGGTTGAAGATGTTAATTTTGAATGTGTTGAAAACATAGTCGCAGATTTTTGTGTACCTAGGAATGAAGAGGAAGCGTACTCTGCACCAAACGTGCATCCTCATCGAGAAAGCAATTTCCAAGCCTCCATGGTGCAGGTTACACAAGTGCAATATGAAAATCCGCAACAATCAAGTTGGACTCAAATGGATACAAGCCAGGTTCATTTGGTGCATGGTAAGAGTGTGGAAGATATTGATTATGGTGGAGGTCTTTCTTGCATAAATTGGGAAGCAAATTTTAAGGTTGGACGAGTTTTTCCAAATAAGATTGCCCTTATAAAAACCTTATGTTTAGCAGCAGTCAGAGGCCACTTTCGATTTAGAACAGTCCAATCTGGGAAACGTAGGTTGTGTGTTCGTTGTTGGCAACTTCCTTGCCCTTGGCGACTTCGGGCATATAAAGTTGGATTACATGAGTTTAGGGTTGTTAAATACGATCCATTTCATGAATGTGATCTAAGGTATCTTAGTAGTCACCATCCTCAAGCTAGTACAGGATTGTTGTCTGACTCTGTGAAACGCAGATTCAAGGATTCTCGCACCATTTATACTGCAGGTGATATCATCAAAGATGTGCGACAAAATTTTGGTGTGACCATAAGCTACTCTAAAGCTTGGAGAAGCCGAGAGTTAGCTTTAAAGATAATTAGAGGGTCTGCAGAAGAATCATATGCTCTTCTCCCTTCCTATTGTTATGAATTGGAGCGTACAAATCCTGGAACTTTGACATACATTGAGACTGATGTAGCCAACCACTTTTTATATTTTTTTATGTCAATTGGTGCATGCATAAGAGGATTTAAGTGCTCAATGCGTCCTGTGATTGCTGTTGATGCTACCCATTTGAAGTGCAAGTACAAAGGTGTTTTGTTTGTTGCCACCGCATTTGACGGAAATCGTAATATATATCCTCTTGCCTTTGGGATTGGAGATTTAGAGACGGATGCGGCTTGGGAGTGGTTTTTCACAAAACTACATTGTGCAATTGGTGATTGCTCGAATCTTGTTGTCATATCTGATCGAAATCTTAGCATAGAAAATGGGTTGAAAAGAGTTTTTCCTGAGGCAGCACATGGTGTTTGCTTTTATCACTTGAAGGGCAATATGAAAGCCTCATTTAAGTTGAAGAAGCGGGATCCGATATTGGGGTTTTTTGTGCGGGCGGCTAAGTCTTACCGTCTAGCAGAGTTCAATCGTTATTTCTCCATGATAAACAATGAGCGAGTGCAAACTTATCTAGTACGTGCAGGGCTTCATAAGTGGTCTCGAGCCCATTGTGATGGACGACGATATAATGTCATGACAACTAATATTGCAGAGTCCATTAATTCAGTTCTTCGTTTTGCAAGGATGCTTCCGGTGGTACACTTGATCGAGGAAATTAGGAATATGCTTCAGAATTGGTTTAGTCAACGTCGAGATTTGTCAATGAAATGTAAATCTATGTTGTGCCCTGATTTAGGTGAAAAGAAGTTGAGGAAGAGATTAGACGCTGCTTCGAGGATGAATGTGGTTAAAATCAATGATATGGAGTATAATGTGCTTGATGGTGATATGAACGGTCTCGTGCACTTGCAAAACTATAGTTGTACGTGTAGGAAGTTTGACTTAGAGCAACTCCCGTGCAAGCATGCTATTGCGGTATGTCGGCACTTGAAATTGAACCCATACTCATTTGCCTCTTCGTATTACACTCGAGCTACATGGGCAGCTGCATATGCTGAATCCATTTATCCTGTACCACCTCAAGGGACATGGGTTATTCCCGAAAATGTCCAAAATGTAAATCTCCTCCCTCCTATTTCAAAGGTTATGCCGGGCCGTCGTAAGACGCAAAGAATACCTTCTAAAGGAGAGGACTCGCGAGAAAGAAAATGCTCAAGGTGCGGTGTGAAGGGCCACTATCGAAGTACATGCAAAGATGCTATTCCCGTCACTAACAAGAAGCAGATCATTTAGATATTACAATTGTTTAGTTTGTATGTCTTATTCCATTAAGTGGTGATATTTGCTACCTAACTTTATGTAAAATTTGTGTTCCTAACATGTCGCTATTTTTGTTTTTGGAAATAGGTATCCTTATAGGTACCCAATTGTATAGATCATGATGCAGCTATTTATAACATTTATTGAATGTGTATGTATGATGTTTATGTGCACGATTGGTGTAGACACGTAAAGCAGGTGGCTAGAAATTTGAATTAAACTGTGGTGCAATACAAGGGCAGTGGGGATAAAGGGTCAATACAAATGTATTTATATGGAGGGCAATTGGGTACTTTCATGTTACAAAGTGAGTATTTCTGATTGAAATTTATAAAGTGAATATATTTGATTATGGTTTATGTTTTGTGATTATCCAAGTCAATTTCCCTAAAAAAAACGACCCAGGTAAAGCGGCTTTAAAAAAAATATCGAGAGTATAGCCCAGGGGCAATATGCTTTTTTTTTAAAATGCAGAGTACAGCCGGGCGACTATACTATTTATAGAAAGACCCTCCAGCGCCTCTTATCCAAAATTGTATAGCCGCATGGCTATACGTTTTTAAAATAATGAAAACCGTAGTATAGCCGTCCGGCTATACTCGTTTTATTAAAAAAAACACGCGTATAGCCGAGCGGCTAGACTATTTATATTAGCACCCATTCCGCCACGTGTCAAAAAAAGTATTGCCGCGTGGCTATACTAATTGTTTTTAAACAATTAGAATAAAAACCGTAGTATAGCGGCTATACTCTGTTTTTTATAAATAAAAACCCCGATTTGGAAACGGTTAGATGACAGTCTGGCGGGCAACCAATCCTGATGCTAGATATTTTCCTGTTGACATGGGTTTTGCTAACTTGTGTATCGCGAAAAACAGTAACTTAGAATAGAAGATTGCAACAACAAAAATGTGATTTAGTCTGTATTGCTTGCAAATATGTGAGAAAGTCTTTTGGGATTATCATCTTAAAGGTCAATCTGAGTGGTTATCTTTAGAAAGTTGTCTGACTTTTGTTGTCTTTATAGAAACAGGGACGGCTACGGAATAAGGTACAAGAAAATAGGAAACATTTCTTCAAAAGAAGAGAGGTAAGTGAAAAAAATTGTTCTTGCAAATATATGGTTTAAGTTAGCAGATTTAGCAACATTCATTTTGCTTTTGGATGCAAGGTGGAATCTAACAATGAGAATCAGACTCTGCCAAGCAAAGAAAATGTGAACTTGCTTTGGAAGGAGCAGGTTCCCAAGAACACTCGGATAAGATTGCAATGCTTGTGGATGATGAAAAGCTGGAGCTAAGAGAAATACAAGGATGGCCAAATGCACTGGGGTGCTCTGATCATTTTACTACTAATGGAGATCATGCCTGTTCACTTTGCAATGGTTGGTTTGAAGAAAGAACGGAACAAATTTTCCACTCTAAAATGAAATGCTGTAATATGTGTGTCTGCATGTATAGTATTTTGTGCTGTGGATAAAGAATTTTTGGGATTTCAGATTTTCTGCCCAAGTTTCCTCCAAATTCTGTGAAGATGAAGCATCCATTCTGTATGCAACCTTGGGATTCTTCTCCAGAGATTGTCAAGAAACTGTTCAAGGTATATGAATTGCAAACTGTTTGTGGCCTGATTTTGTTAAGTTCTTTTGCAAATATAGGACATTGTTTGTGAAAGATGTCATACACTCCATCTATTATTGCATTTGCTTTTTCTTATTTATGAGGTCTGTTTTATTATTCATGATTATACGACCTATAAAAGCTTGGAATAATTATTTTGTGCTTGCTAATACTGCCTAATGGTCTCTCATTACTCTTACCAATCTTTTTCATCGACGCTCGCATTGCACAGATTGAAGTCATAGGTTGTTCTTGCAGAGATGATATGCAAACTATGATATACTCAAGAAAAAGATATATCAAGTACTAGAGATATATGGAATGTGGTCTAAATTTAATATTGGAATCTACTTGTAAGTTGTAACTCTCTTTTGTGTAGTTCGTACCGAGTGTAGGAATTTATTATTATCTTGTCAACTTTAAGATTCCATATGGAAACTGGGGGGTGAAAAGATGTGCAGTGTTAAAGTACCACTCTAGATTGCTGCAGTTTTTTTTGTTTTTTTGTTTTGTTTTGTAAAAAATGTGCCTTGGGGTCATCAGTTCAGATTGCTGCATTTTGTTTAGTTATTGTACCCAAATATATTCTGGGTTGACTTTCTAGCGCAGGTTTTCCATTTCCTTTATACTTATGCCGTTATGGTAGGTAGATATAAGCTTCTTAACTATTGATGAGTTTGCCCAAGCATTTCAGGACAAGGTTATATCTTATCTTTTATCCAACATCGGATTTATTGTGTCTTCTACTTGCTCAACATCTTTGTTTCGTAAAATGCCTTTTAGGATTCCTTGCTACTTGGAAAATTCATGTGGCCCTTCTGAAGCTTCTTCTATCTAATGTTGAAGCCGAGCTTGGTTGTGGATCTATATACCTCATTTGAGCAAATCATGCAATTTTCTTGCATTTATTCACTCGGTGAGTTATGAACAAACGACATGTAATTGTGCAGATCACAGACATTTACAATTCATTTAACTTATGATAATGTTGTATAGTCATATTGACCATTTCATTTGGGTACATATATGTCACAACAGTTTTCTAAAGGCTCATATGTTTGGAACTTTGTTGGTAACAAAAAGTGAATGCAATCTATAAGACTGTTGACATGTTTCTTTACAGGGAAGTTAAATACCGCTGAAAGTAGCAAAATGATATCAGATACATTTAAAGAATAGAGATTTTCTATTTAAACCCCACATTTCTCTTAGTTCACCCCATGTTCTAAGTTCACCCCAACTTTTAATTTAAATTCTCACAATTTCTAAGTAAACCCCACTATCTTCCCAAACTACCCTTAAATACACCCCAAGCTGAAAAAATAAGAAATAAAAGAGATTTTCTATTTAAACCCCACAAGCTACCTTTAGAGCCATGTCAATAAACTCTACAGTCCACACTAACACGGTAAAACAACTCCAGAGATAAATTCATTTGACTCTTCCCTTCTAAATTGGGACTGGTGTCTGAGCTTTTTATTCAGTTCTCCACAAATCTTTTGCATCATGGGTTGGTGAGAATATGTATAATTTCTGGCGTAGCCTATGGGTGTTATGGAATTGATTTTAATTTCCTCTTATGTCTGGGTTTATCTGCTTTGAGATCTTTATGATTGGAGAATGAATATTTTTTTTTGTCTTTGTTTAGATATGCATCAAGTCAATATAACCAGTGTTTATTTCTTCTTTTGTCAATCTTCTAAATTGTTTCCCTTCAATGCGTTCCTATCATAATATCGTCAGTGTCTTCTGCAGGTAATTGGTGTTCTAGATGTAAGTAGAAGTAAGGAGAAGGGATATGAGACGATTGTAAAAGATGATTTCTGTGATGAGGTTTGGCATAAGTCCCAAATTCCCATTCTTAATTGTCGAATCAGAATGCTTATTTGCCTTGTGCATCATCTCATCATTGTTGTTCTTGTTGTTTTTAATTTTCTTTTTTACATTTTGTTTATGAGGCTAGTGTGGTGTGGCGTTTCTGTTAGTTCAATATTGAGATGGTAGAGTTTATTTTGTGACTTTTATGCGTCTTGATAGATCTGTACAGCTGCCTATTGTCTGAATTTAAGTTATTTCTAATGTTATAGGATGTAGAAGAGTTTGTATTTTTTTTAAACTTAATTTGAAGAGTTGTGGGGTGTGTGGGGTGTGTTGGGGTGTGTGTATAGATGTATTAGGGTTAAGTATTAAGTTGAATAACCTTTTTTGTCTTTTTACACAATAATAAAACTTACAACTTAATGATTTAAATATTGGGGTGAACTAAGAGAAGTGTGGGGTTTAAATAGAAAAAATCAAAGAATATAGGAAAGAATATATCAGCTAATAATCAAAAGCTTGGTGTGACTACAGAGAAGGTGTCCATTCCAGAATGTCTGATAGATACGCTTAGGTGACAAGAAATTTTCTGAACAAAATCATTATCAGACTATTAGTACTCCATCCATATGCACTTTTAGAAGATCCACTTGCTTTTTGTGGTATAGTTGATTAGAGATACTTATTTTTGTCAAACATTTGAGACTTTTTTGCTCATCTCTTAAATCAATTGTTTTTTCATATTTTTATGAAAACATCGAATGGAAGTACGCAATAACTAAGCATCTTTATCAAATTATTTGGCAGGTTGAAAATCAAGAACCCACTCTGGAATTCTGGAAGGGATCGCTAAACTCCTTAACATGGACAGAAATACTGCATCAAGTACTGGTTGCCGCTGGTTTTGGTTCAAAGCAAGGTGCAATGCGAAGGGATGCCCTTAGCAAGGTCTTCTAATTTAACTCCCATAGTTGCAATTGATTTTTCTAAGCTCCATTTCCTCTCTAGTAAATGTATGTAATTATCAACACATCCGTATTCTGCAAGTTAACTGCTATAGATGCCCAATAATATGTGTCCATCACCCAAAACCTTGAGCATTCAAAGCCTTATTGGCAATAGTCATTTAAGATCTGTCATTACCCCGAATAATCTGTTTCTACCTTGAGGCAGAGCCCCAGTTGGATAGATTCATTTTCCATACTTAAGGACCAAAATCAGAAATTTTAGGTTTTACATATAACATGTAGTGATTGAATGTTAAAGGAAATAGTTTCTTCAGTTTTGTTTGTTGGCATTATCGTGCATTCCTAAATAACATTTGTTGAGCATATGTTTTCCGCTTGTCTCATGAATTATTTGCTTTAAGGACTAGACATGCGCAGGATCCTTTATTTACTTTCTTATGGTGGTTTTATTTGTATTCTACAATTAATAAGCTTTATCTGTTGTTGCATAAACCTATCTATAAATGTGAAATTTGGTTTTTCAAATTGAATCTTCTGTTATCTAGGAAATGAGCCTTATGGTGAAGTATGGTTTACGTCCTGGTACTTTGAAGAGTGAATTTTTCGGAGTTCTGCTAGAGCGAGGAATTCATGGGTTGAAAGATTATGAGTTGGCGAAGTCATTGCAGGTAATTTTCTTGAAAATATTGTTATCATAATCTCTCATGTGATATTACACTTGAATTAGTGATGGACTTTGTTTTTGTTTTGCAGATTTCTGAATTGAACCTTTCTAGTGGAATAGAGGAACTAGAGTATTTAATTGGTTCAACTCTTTCAAGTGATATTACATTATTTGAAAAGATTTCATCATCCACCTATCGTGTATATTAGTTATTCTAAAAAGATAGTGGCGGAATCCCAATTAGATACCGAAGACTCTGGAGCAGTTGATGATGACCTCGGTGACCGTGGTACATGTAGCAGTGATGATGATTCTGGGTACAATTCAGGAAATTCCAAATTGAAAAAGTTGACTTATATGAAATATGGCAAAAGTAAAGATAACGTGGTGATAGTATACACCAAAATTGATGAGAGCCAGGAGAAGTATGGTTGTTAGGACTTGTGGAAGGCGAATATTCAGATTTAAGCATTGAAGAAAAGTTGAGCGCAATAGTGGCTCCAATTGATCTTCTTCATGCATGTTCTAGTTTCAGAATGGAGGTAACATATAGAATCTTTGCATGGACATTGAAACCTTTTCTTTGTTTTTATTTTTCCCACTACTATGAGGTTGCCCTATTAAATGGAACGTGTTTAGTCCTTTGTAAGATAATATCATATAAATGGTGCAAGCTGCATTATATATGTAAATACTTTGACAGTAAATATTATTTGAATATTCAATGAGATTCAAGTAGCCGTAATTATTATGGTGGTTTATAAATTTAACATTTTCGAACGTTGATATTATACAACTTTTACTTTTGTATTTTCTGTATCCTTTATATTTTAAATAATAAAAAAACTGCTAAAAAAAAGTTACTTATTTTAATATAGGGCCATTTTAATACAATGTTTAAGCCCATTTTACAAAACCCAACCCGTTAGTTATATGAAAAATTAGGTTATATGTCTTCTTCTTCCCAGCGCAGCCTGCGCTCCTTCCTCTCCGTGTTCCGACTTCATCTCTCTTTCTCGGTCTTTCTTCATGCAGTGCCTCAGTGCCACCTCAAGCGTCGACTCCTCAACGGCAAAACGCCAGCCCAGACCAGGCCAGGCGGGCTAGGTGGGCTAGGCGGGGGCTAGGCGGGCTAGGCAGGGGCTAGGCGGGCGCTAGGAGGCCTGGGCTGGGGCTAGGAGGGCTAGGCGGGCGCTAGGCGGCCTAGGCGGGAGCTAGGCGGCCTAGGCGGGCGCTAGGCGGCCTAGGCGGGCGCTAGGCGGCCTAGGCGGGCGCTAGGCGGCCTAGGCGGACGCTAGGCGGCCTAGGCGGGGGCTAGGCGGCGCCCAACTCCCTGGCGGCTACTCCTTACGATTAGGATGAAATCGCAGCGGTGGCCTCCCGCCTGGCACCTTGAATGTATCGGTTTGAAATGCTGATCAAAGCTATGCACCTTGCGTAGGAAATCGACTTCCGAAAGATGGTTCTCTCCAATGACACGTAAACACATGTCATGCTATCACTTCCATATAGTAAATATAAATTTAACCTGCCATTTAATGAAGTTGAATTACTATATGAGAGAGAAGAAAAAGCGAGTTGAATTCCAATAGCTGTTAATTGAAGCAGTTTCCCAAATAATTGATGGCCTCATTCTCATTTCATCCATCGCTCTGCATAATTTCATTTTGATGCTTCTAAAACAAATTAAAGCATGGAGTGGAGTTTATCACATTCTGTTCTCACATGGCTCCTGGTAATATCCATAACACCAGGGCAGCCACAGAGGGCCATAGTGAGCTCAAACTCATCTTTCAGCATTTCGATAACCTGTCTCACGCCGCGTTCTCCTTTTGCTGCAAGGCCATAGATTACAGGCCTTCCAACCTGCAGCAACATTAGCCTGTATTTCAATAAGAAAATCCAAAATAATACAAGCAGTTTCAGGGTTCATATCAGAAGGGCAGCTTTCAAGGCTCGGATAAGGAGGAGAAAAATCTAGCAGCGGAATGAGCCCTGGCCCCAACAAAATCCTTGAAAAGCAGCCCTTAATGGATGTTCACAGCATAACCCTCAGGATATGCCATTTGTGCTCACTGGTTTATTCCATCTCTTGGAGTCTTTGAGCCCTTATCTAACTCGTGCCGGTCCATCATTGAAACACAAGCAGGAGCATCTATACATACTAGAAGAAGTATACTTGTGAAATAAGCAAAGCAGTTTTAGGGCTCCTCTTTCTTGGCAGGCACTGGTGACTGATGCAGCTACAAATGTACAATATTCACTTTCATTGACCTGCCAAAGAAGAGTTGCCCTACGATTGCTTTGGCTTAATGAAATTTGCAACCTGTTTATCATGCATTAGAGCCCTGTCATGCAAAACATAGGCTAGCCAAGGATATACGTAGGTTTTGTCATATTTGAAAATAATGCTAGAGGTAGAGCTATAATACTGAAGTTATTTTTGTTGTTCAAAGTTGTTCTGCTTTGTGACTAAGCAAGGGAAATAGTGTGATTTTATATAGGTGTAATGGAAGGTGGAAGCCATATATACAAGCAATTACTAATTTCCCCGATCCCTTTTGTCAGTTGTGGCCATATAGCTTTGTCTGAGAGGATGTTCTTGCTATGTGCTTATAGTTTGTTTGGGATACATAATTGTGATCATAGTTAGATCTATTTAATATTATTATTTTAACCGTATCTACCTTTCCCTAACCAATGACCAGAAGCAAAACATTTTGATCCTAATCGTAATATGGAATTTGTGATTCCATCTGAATTATTTGTTTATTTGTTTCATTTTCTTCATGTCTGTTTTGTGTTTCAACTTTTGAAACTTTACATATGTTCTTACAAAGTCTGAATTCAGTCTCCGCCAGCCGAAGAGGTTATGCTAATCTTTTATTTTGCTTTTGTTTTTTTAATCAAGTCATCCTACACTTTCTTTTCTATTTTTTTCTGTCTTCTTTCTCTGGATAAACCCATAACTTATTACTAGTCTACATACTCGAGACTTTGTTCACCATTTTTTAAAATGATTTTGAAAAAAAATATTGAGTTTGGACCATCACTCTCAGTTCTAGTGTAGTAGTATGTGTATATATTGCACCATTCTAAATGAGTTATATTGCTCACACACATCGCCTATTAAGATATAACCTCATATACAAAGCCATGAGAATTGTTTCATTTTTCAGATTTCTAAGCATTGCAACCATTACTACCATTAGCTTATGCAATAGAAATTTGGGCGTGCCTTGTAAACAAAATGAGAGACAAGCACTTCTAATGTTCAAGCAAGATCTTAAGGATCCTTCAAATAGGCTTTTATCTTGGGTTGGTGAGGGAGATTGTTGCAATTGGACTGGAGTTGTCTGCGACAATCTAACCGGTCATGTTCGTGAGCTGCACCGTGGGAATTATTATTCAGATGAGTATTGAATTACAGTTTGTATCAAGAAAACTCTTTGGGTGGCAAGGTAACTAAATTTAAAGCATCTGAGCTACTTGGATCTAAGCAACAATGATTTTGGAGGAATACAGATTCCTAGCTTCTTAGGTTAGTTAAGATATCTTAACCTCTCAGACTCAAAGTTCGCTGGAATAATTCCGCATCAATTGGGAAAATCTCTCAAGTCTACGCTCTTTAGGACTCCGGAGTAAAAGCTACTACGGATGAAGGTTGAGAATCTCCAATGGCTTTCTGGTCTTTCGAGCTTGCAGAACCTGACATGAATATGTAGATCTTAGCAAGCATCTGATTGGTTTCAGGTGACAAACACCTCCCCTCTATGCTGGTAGAGTTGCATATGTCCGGTTGTGAACTCAATCAAATACCAGTTGGTGTTGCAAAACATGACAAGGCTTAAAGTTTGTTAATCTCAGGTGGAACATCATCTGGGGTACCATACCTCAATGGGTGTACACTTGTAGTGTAGCAATTTTGAGTCCCTATCCCGTTTATTGTCTCTTGCGAGTGAAATTTCAAGTTCCAGTGGAAACTTGACAGCCCTTGTCAATTTTGACTTGTCTGCTAATCAAATTGATGGGAAAATGAAAATGCCACACTCATTGGGAAATCTTTGTAAGTTGACGGTCTGATCTGTCAAGGAACTATTCAATGGAAGCGTATCAGAAATATTGGAAGCTTGTCAGGGTGTAGTTCAGGTCAAATGGAGTCACTGAAGCTGTCCACAAATGATTTTCAAGTCCCTATCCGATCAGCTAGAAATTTCAGACATTTAAGCCTCTCCTTGCTCTTTCGAAATTCAGAAGGTCCAATTCTAGCGTCCCTTGAGAATCTTCATTCCGAGATGAGGCAAGCATTTCTGAAAACATTTTTAACGAACTCTCCCAACACTACTGGTCAACTCCAATGGGTTAAAGGTTTCTATAATTAGACATAGCCGTTTGGTTATACTATTTTATAAAAAAGGCCCAGTAAGCCGGTGCGGCTAACGCTTTTAAAAAAATATCCGTATTTATTAAAAAAAAAAAAATCCCCCTGCCTGCGCCTGGCCTATTCGCCCCCGTGTCAACATAGTATAGCTCGTCTCTACTATTTTTTATAATAAAAACGTATCTAGTCTTTGCTGACTATTTGTTCATAACAGTGGACCCGCCTGTCGCCTAGCGCCATTTCACCACGTGTCGCACTAGTATAAGCCGCCCGCGGTACACTAATTTTTTTAAATAAAAAAACCGCGAACCTGGCGGGATCTCGGTTATTATTTAAAAAACCCCGGTGGAAAGGTTTGATGACGGTCCTAGCGCTAGAGATTTTCCTGTTGACATTGGGTTTGCTATTTGTGTATCGCGAAAACCAGTAACTCGAACAGAAGCTTGCAACAAGAAAATGTGATTTCGTCTGTATTGCTTTCAACGTGAGACAAGTCTTTTGGATGAGCATCTTACAGGTCGATCTGAATGTGTGTTAACTTTAGAAAGTTGTCTGACATTTGTTGCTTAAAGAAACAGGGACGAGACGAAATAAGGTGACAAGAAAAGAAGGAAAACAATTCGTAATAGCAGAGAGGTAAGTGAAAAAAAATTGTATTGCAAATATATGGGTTAAGTTAGCAGATTTAGCAAATTCTTTTGCTTTTGGTTGCAAGGTGGATCTAACAATGAGAAATCAGATCTGTCAAGCAATAGAAAATGTGAATTGCTTTGGACAGGAGCAGCTTACCAAGAACACTCGGATAAAGATCGCAATGCTTGGGGATGATGGAAGAGTGGGAGCTGACGAGAATTACACGGGAAGCCAAATGCACTGGGGTTCTCTGAACATTTTACTACTAAGAGGAGATCATGCTGTTCACTTTGTCAAGGTTGGTTGAGGGAAGAAAAGAACGCTGTTCAAGGTAAAGTGAATGGCAAATGTTTTTTGGCCCTGATTTGGTTAAGTTCTTTGGCAAATATAGGACATGTTTGTGAAAGAGTTCATACACTCCATCTACTATTGCATTTGCTTGTCTTATTAGGGAGGGCGGTTAATTAATGATTATGACGATCTATAAAACCTTGGAATAATTATTTTGGGCTCCAGCTAATTACTGCCGAATGGCGCTCATATTTCCAATATTTCATCGACGCTTCATGCATAGATGAAAGTCTAGGTTGTTCTTGACAGAGAGGTTAGGCAAACGATGATATACTCAGATGAGAAGATATATCAAGGACAGAGCTATATGAATGTGGTCTAAATGTGAGATTGGAAAAAAACACAAAGTCTGGTACTTGTAATTGTAACATGAAGATCTTTGTGTCGTTCAGAGAAGATACAGGAACTTTGGTTCAAAGTTCTTGTGAATTGCAGTCTTCTTTCACAGGAGGGGAGTCATGTATCTGGGAGTACGAACACTAGGAACTCATAGAGACACTGGGGCATTAATTCGTTTAAGGTCAGAGTTGTCCAACACTGCCTCAATCAATAAGATTCTTCTAGTTCATGTCCTTTGTGAAAATCTGGTCTGTTGCAGTAGTGATTTGTTATTGTTATGCAATTTGCAATCATACTTCCAACAGGGAGACTATTCTGGTATTGTGTTCATGACTGCAGGTCCCGACAGGATGATGGGAGCGATGAGGAATATTGAGGGTGAAGAATCTGGAGCCTTCTTTATTAGTATGGCCGTGCTGGGACTGGGGATTTAGTAGCTGGGGTGCCTGATTATCAACAGTTTGGTTGTTTTCAAAAGCAAAGGCGAAAGTCTTTTGAGAATGGTGGATGCCGAAATAATAGGATAATTTTTTAGGTAGGCTTTAGAGGAACGAGCGTCAAGCAAGTGAAACTAGGGGTTGCCTCTTCATCACTACAAAGAAACAATTTGTGGGGGTGCCTGTCCGTCTGATGAAGATACTGTTGACGGAAAGCAGCAAGTCCCCACTATGATCTATATGACTGCAAATAATAGAACGCGTTAACTTGTTCTCCACCACCAAGTATTATTCTCAAGCGACAATCAGTATTCTATAACTCTGGAGGGGTTGAATGACGACTATAAATAGTTGGGATAGGAAGCTGATCTGGCGGCGAAGATGTTGCTGTGAGGCTATGAAGTCAGCGTGTGTATTAGCCTAAAAGCCAACTCCTGGAGAAGGATCCAGAACGTCCCTTGCTGTGGTCATCATGATAATTTAAATAAAACGTGGTTTGAACGGGCTCGAAGTTCTAAACAGTGACATGAAATCAGAACAAGATCCTAAATCATGATCTAGCCAGGTGAGAAAGTCATGAGTTTCCCATTAGTCAATTTGGAATGCTCATGGAAAAAAATCGCGGATTTCGTTTATAATTTATCAAGTCCAACGTTGAGCTGGGTGCATGAAGGACTAGGGAGTGAAAGGAGTCTTGGAGCAGGCGTTATCCCCCCCCCCCCCCCCCCCGATTGACGAGTGGACGGATGCTTATAGAAGCCAGCCTTGGGCGGTTCAAGGGAATGGCAAGGGTTCTTGTGAAGGTGGAAGTGCGGAGACTTGAGAGGCTTTTTGGATATGATAGATGCGCGAAACGGAGTGTCAACAAGTTGGAAATTAATGGGTCCCAGTCGATTCACGAACCATTTGTTTGGGAGAGCTTCGTGCTTCTTCTTTATGGGGCGTAGCTCGGTTAGGCTGAGAAGCAATAGCTATTGTTTGAGTGTGTGCGTGAAAGCAAGCTAATCTAAGAATTAGTTATTTACTTAGGAGGGTCAGGGACGGGGCCTCAAAAATGTCTGATAATATATATGCGAATGGTACCTCTGCTTGCTCTCTGGTATTCTACTACTGTTTTTAGTGCCCTAGCTGGTACGGATCATTAAAGTGCACTGTGATGATAATTAGGCACAGTGATAAAATTAAGATAGAAGGCAGATGATGCTTCAACTCTTGTGGTTCAATGTTCCTGCTATGTATATGAGACTAAACTTCAAAGGTGATTTCGAAGAGCATAAGCGTAACAGAAGTACAACTTTAATGAGCTTTTCTCAGAAAGTACAGAGTTCTCTTTAAATCATGGGCACAGAGTATTGAGCGATTACTACTGAGCAATATGAAGTCAAGTAGTTTAATCTGATCTAAAGAACTATCAATTATATAAACAAAGTATCAAGTCATGTAATTATCCAAGCACACGTTACCTTCAATCTATTATATATTTTTAAAATCAAGTGAGGAGAAAGCCAGAATCAGGCACGGAGGAGCGAGCAGATAGAACAGGGTAGAAAGAGCCAATCGCAGGACAAGTCAATTGAGATTGTGTAAAGAATATATAGGCCATATCACTAATATTAAGCTTCATTAATTCCGTGTACCTGGACCGTTTCTACAATACAGTCCTAAAAACTCTTACCAAAAATCTCCGTTTATGCCCAAGGTCATGAAGCGATGATTGATAAAGCCTGTGGCAATGGCGTTCTGGAAGTAGGATTCAGCATTGCCTCAACCGAGTGAAATCCACATTTGTTTAATAAAACAAAATGGAAGGGTAATTGGAGATATATATTACATTCCGTTGACTGATAAAGAAGCTCTTCCAATGGAAGATGGATATGAATCAAACAGTATAACCAATGCAATGCCTAATTAAAAAGAGCTAGCGTCTCTAATAGCCAAAATGCGACTGGACAACGTAACTTTTCTTGTACATGGTAATTCGGACGGTTTCGGATATATGCCAAGAGATATTGGCAATGAAAAGGACCTAAAAATAACTACGGCCCGTTCACTAACCTTTTTTTTTTTTTTTTTTTTTTTTTTTTTTTTTTTTTTTTTTTTTTTTTTTTTTTTTTTTTTTTTTTTTTTTTTTTTTTTTTTTTTTTTTTTTTTTTTTTTTTTTTTTTTTTTTTTTTTTTTTTTTTTTTTTTTTTTTTTTTTTTTTTTTTTTTTTTTTTTTTTTTTTTTTTTTTTTTTTTTTTTTTTTTTTTTTTTTTTTTTTTTTTTTTTTTTTTTTTTTTTTTTTTTTTTTTTTTTTTTTTTTTTTTTTTTTTTTTTTTTTTTTTTTTTTTTTTTTTTTTTTTTTTTTTTTTTTTTTTTTTTTTTTTTTTTTTTTTTTTTTTTTTTTTTTTTTTTTTTTTTTTTTTTTTTTTTTTTTTTTTTTTTTTTTTTTTTTTTTTTTTTTTTTTCAAAAAAATAAACGACGTGGAAAAAATGATGGGGTCATTAATTACGACACATTAATTTATAAAGACGACGTTGTCGTCTATATACAACGTCGTTACCATGAAAAAGACCGCCGTGTTTAATAGTTTATTCGTCTTCATTAAAAAAATTAACGTCGTCTAATTCATATATCTTAACGTCGACAAATTTAATGGACTTCAAATACCGTCGTGAATTCATCCTTTTCCACTTCGTTTATGAAAGAACATGCGACATGGTAAATTCATGACGACGTCGTCTTTTGTAACGTTCAGGTTAAAGATCTCGTCTTTAAGACGTCGGTATTATGGGATTGGAGTCGTGTTATTTTGAATTACATGGCGGTTCTTTATGCTTGTCCGACGTGTTATCCTGGATAACTGTTTCACAATAGCGTCGTGGTTCTTCATTGTTACGTTGCTTTAAGACGTCGGTAAATATATTGCGGTCGTTGAATGCTCAAAAACGTCGTTATTTATTAGAACAGACGTTTGTTTTTCACATTTTTATCAAAACGTCGTGTTTGTAATCTGGAACCAGTAATTTTTGTACTGATTGTTTTGTGGCCAAAACCTGTATAATGAAAGTGAAGAAATCACATTACAATATTACAAAATTAATGTCATACACTGCCAATTACATAAAGCATCATTCAACCCCATATATCTTCACACCCATCTCGAATATTTTGACTCCCTAACTCAACCACCACTTCATCAAATGTGTCAACATTTGGCATCCCTCTAGTAAATGGCTCACACTCAATTCTCACATCACCTAAGACATCATCACCAATAACATCATTATATTCTCTATTAGGCATTGATAACACTACCGACCAACCACGATGCATCGGGTCGTCAACAAAAAATACTTGTTTGACTTGAGAAGCCAAAACAAATTGGTCATTCCTATGTCCAATTTTACTCAAATCTACAAGGGTAAATCCAAGTTCGTCCACTACAAGACCAGAAGTATTATCTATCCAATCACACCTAAAGACTGGGATTGTAAACTTTTGGTAGTCAAGGTCCCAAATTTCTTGAATGACACCATAGAAACCCATATTTGAGAGAATTGGGTTTTTATCCTTGGCACTAGCAACTTGCAAAGTATGTGCAAGTAAATAAACTCCACTATTTTGAGTTGTCCGCACATCATCTTGTGCCTTGATGTTGAATTTAATACCTTTAATAAGATAGCTCCTATATAATGGCACTGCCATGTTTGGGACCAGCTGCTAGCCACCTTAAATTTTCTGATACGCCATGATTGTCTTCCTCATTAAGTTCACTTTGAACCTGCAAATTAACTTAATTCAATCTAACATAGAAAGAAGAAAATTAAAAGTCCAATATGTTATTCAATAACATATACCTTGAAGCGTAGCCATTGAATGAAAGTGCTATTGTGCTTATCCTGCAGCCACTTTGTTCTCTTTCTAAATTTTGGATAAGCGGTCTTGATGTGGATCATATGTTGCCTACATGACACAAAAAATTCAAGTATTACGGTCCCAAACATATAAGATAAACATAAGAAATAATTTAAAATGGAAACTTAAAGAATAAAACTCATACGTACTCGATATAAGGTAGGACTTCCTCCGTATTCTCCAAGACATATAGATGTGCTTGGTTCAACAGGTCCCGATCAACTACGCTCACTGTGCAACCTGATAATGGCTTTGAAACTCCCATCTTTTGGCTTGAAGGCACTCCAACTGTACTAACATCAGATAAATGCTCGGTACAAAACTCTACAGCTTCTTCAGCTATATACCGCTCAGCAATGCAACCTTCGGGACGAGTACGATTCTGAACATACCCCTTTAGGACTTTCATATATCTTTCAAACAAATACATCCATCTAAAATATACTGGCCCACATAGACGAACTTCTCTGACAAGATGTACTACTAGATGAACCATGATATCAAAGAATGAAGGGGGAAAGTACTTCTCAAGCAAACACAAAGTAACTACTACATCTTCTTCCAACTTATCTAGCTTGGAAACATCAACAGTCTTTGCACATATAGCATTGAAGAAGAAGCACAAACGAGTTATTGCATACCTTGCAGGCTTCTCCAAAACAGAACGAATTGCCACATGGAGCAATTGTTGCATTAAGGTATGACAATCATGTGATTTAAGACCAAGAAGTCTTAAATCTTGTAAAGATACAAGATTTTTTATATTTGAAGAATAACCTTCAGGGACCTTCATACCATAGAAAGAATTGCAAACCTCTCTCTTCTCTGCTCTTGACAAATTCCAAGGCCCGGGAGGCAAACGAGTACGTCTTTCTCCATACTCGGGTTGCAAATCAGTTTTGACCCCCATGTTCAATAAATCTAATCGAGCAGCAATCCCATCTTTATTTTTTCCAGGGATCTCCAGCAATGTACCAATGATACTATCGCAAACATTCTTCTCAATGTGCATAACATCTAGGACATGCCTCACAGGAAGGTATTTCCAATACTCGAGATCAAAGAATATTGATTTCTTCTTCCAACAAACTCTGTCACCATCTTCAACCATATGCAACACTTCTTCTCCGGTTAATGGCTCGGGAGGCGTGCCATATTCAGGTTTCCCATTAAAAGCTGCACGTTGCCTCCTATATGGATGATTGATTGGTAACCATTTTCTATGCCCAATGTAACAAATTTTGTGGCCATTTTTCAACCTGTGACTAGGTGTATCATCGCCGCATATTGGACAAGCTTTATATATTTTAACAACACAACCAGATAAGTTTCCATAGGCGGGGAAATAATTAATTGTCCACATTAATGCAGCTCTGAGTGTAAAGGATTCTCCATTATGTGCATCATACACTCCTCCAATCCCATCCCACAAAGATTTTAAATCATCAATCAAAGGCTCCAAGTAGACGTCTATATCATTTCCGGGCTGTTTAGGACCGGAAATCAATAAGGTCAACATCATGAACTTTCGTTTCATGCACAGCCATGGAGGGAGATTATATGTAACTAAGATAACTGGCCAGCAACTATATCTGCTACTTAGAGAACTGTGGGGATTGAATCCATCAGATGAAAGAGCCAATCTCAAGTTTCTCGGCTCATTACCAAACTCGGGCCATTTATCATCAAGAAGTTTCCAAGACGGGAATCCACCGGATGAGACATATGACCCTCAATTGATTTTCTAGCAGCATGCCAAGTCAAACTCTTAGCTGTCTCATGTGATCGAAACATCCTTTTAAACCTTGGAATTGGAGGAAAATACCACACCACCTTCGCTGGCACACCCTCTTTCAAGATTGAATCTTTGCCTTCCTTCCACCTTGAGATACCACAAGTAGGACAATTAGTTGAATCCTCATACTCCTTCCTATACAAGATGCAATCATTGGGGCATGCGTGCATTTTCTCATAACTCAGCCCCAATGCACACAAAGTCTTTTTTGCCTCATACATAGAGGCCGGTATTGTATTTCCTTCTGGAAGCAAATCGCCTTGAAGTATCAATAATTTTGTAAAACAGACATCACTCATCCCATGTTTTGCCTTCAAATTATACAACTTCACTAATGCCGATAACTTCGTGTACTTTCTACAACCAGGGTACAATGGTCATCCATCCCCAATCACATTGGCAAACTCATAAGGATCAGATCCAAAATCACCAAAATCATTATCATCCATCTCTATTTCTTCAGACACAAAACTGTACCTACTATGGTCATCATCTTCTTCAACATTTCTACTAGCATTAGTAGTTGCTTCCCAAGGTTCTCCGTGAAATGTCCAATTCTTATAGCTTTGGTCAACTCCATTAAAGTATAAGTGATCCCTTATAATTCCAACCCCAAACAATTTCAAATTAACACATTTAACATATGGACAACGGATATGTGTTGTAGTTAGAAGATTTTCTACAGAAAAGTTCAAAAATGCTTCCACCCCTAACTCATATGCCTTCGATCTTCTATCCGAGTGCATCCATGACTTATCCATCTCCGACACTATACCCTATTATATATAATAAAGTGAAAAGACAAGCAATGACCATCACTATAGCAGATTATATAAAGTTCTAATAGCAAGTAATATACAACAGAGACGACGGTTTTTAAACAAAAACAGACGTATTTGACATATATAGACGACGGATTTTCAACAAACGTCGTCTAATTATAACCACGACGGTAGTTAAATAACACCGTCGTGTATAAGTAATACAAACGACGGTTTAAAGTAAAAACCGTCGTTGTATGCCTAAAAACGCGTCGATATCCCAGTTTATTTTCAAGATCCCAAAACCCTATTAAGAACACAACATATACATGAAACCAAGCATGAAACCAACATATACATGAAACCAAGCATGAAACCAACATATACTAAGCATGAAAACAATAAATCCATTCCCAATTCAACATAACAGAGAGTGATTAAAAGATCCGACAAAATGAAATCCATTCCCTATTCAACATAACAGAGAGTGATCAAGAAAACATTAAACAGAAAATCCATGAACCCATACCTCCAACAACATTATTAAAATATCGCAAAACATATATCTAAAACCCTTTAACAAAACAACGTAATATCATTCAATAAATTTACAAGGGGAAGTGAGGGTTTGTACTTACAGGTTGGCAGAGCTCACAGATTATGGCCAAATTGGATTCGACACAGCCTGGAGAGCCCAACTTTGAATTAGAAATGAAGTGAGAGAGCGAAATGTTATGTTGCGCGAAATCTGAAAATTTTAGGGTTCAGGGTTAGAAGTATAAAACTAAGAGCCAAATCTGAAAATTTTAGGTCCCGCGAATATTTTAGAAAGCGCGCTCTTTAAAACATCGACCGAAAAAACAACCGTCGTTAAAATTTCACATTAAACATGACGCTTATTACATTAAGGACGTCGTGGTAAAACTATGTACGACGCAAAATCAAACAGAAGTCGTCAAAACTATAAAAAACCACGTCGGGGTTAAGTAATTAACGACGTTGTAAATAATAATAAACGACTCACGTGTAAAAAGGACGTCGTTTAAAAGAGAAACCATGGCGGATTTTTCACTATACGACGTAAACTCAATATTCCACGACTCAATCACCGTCGTTAAAAGTAATACCCTAAAATTTAAAACCCTAAATTATATATTTGTAAAATTTAATTTTATAAAATTGTTTATGGTTTTATAGCCTAATATATAACAAACATAAACCCTAAACCCCAAAAATTATACTTTAACCCTAAACCCTAATAAATAACAACCCTAAACCCCAAACCCTAATCCATAAACCATCAAACTATATAAGTGATGTTATGACTCATCAAAACAATTTTATTTTGGGTGGTCTTTTAAACTTTTATTACTCAAACTGAATTTTTTTGAGGTTTAGGGGGAAGAAAATATATCAATGACTTCATAGAAGTTGACGTTGCATTTTTTGGATTTATTTTAATTTATTTTGAATATTTTGAATTAAAAATAATAAAATATTCTTTTATCAACAACAAACCACGTCGGGGTTAAGTAATAACGACGTTGTAAATAATAATAAACGACTCACTTGTAAAAAGGACGTCGTTTAAAAGAGAAACCATGGCGGATGTTTCACCATCCGACGAATACTCAATATTCCACGACTCAATCACCGTCGTTAAAAGTAATACCCTAAAATTTAAAACCCTAAATTATATATTTGTAAAATTTAATTTTATAAAATTGTTTATGGTTTTACAGCCTAATATATAACAAACATAAACCCTAAACCCCCAAAAATTATACTTTAACCCTAAACCCTAATAAATAACAACCCTAAACCCCAAACCCTAACCCATAAACCATCAAACTATATAAGTGATGTTATGACTCATCAAAACAATTTTATTTTGGGTGGTCATTTTAAACTTTGATTACTCAAACTGCATTTTTTTGAGGTTTAGGGGGAAGAAAATATATCAATGACTTCATAGGAGTTGACGTCGCATTTTTTGGATTTATTTTAAATTTATTTTGAATATTTTGAATTAAAAATAATAAAATATTCTTTTATCAACAACAAACCACGTCAGGGTTAAGTAATTAACGACGTTGTAAATAATAATAAACGACTCACTTGTAAAAAGGACGTCGTTTAAAAGAGAAACCATGGCGGATGTTTCACCATCCGACGTATACTCAATATTCCACGACTCAATCACCGTCGTTAAAAGTAATACCCTAAAGTTTAAAACCCTAAATTATATATTTGTAAAATTTAATTTTATAAAATTGTTTATGGTTTTACAGCCTAATATATAACAAACATAAACCCTAAACCCCAAAAATTATACTTTAACCCTAAACCCTAATAAATAACAACCCTAAACCCCAAACCCTAACCCATAAACCATGAAACTATATAAGTGATGTTATGACTCATCAAAACAATTTTATTTTGGGTGGTCATTTTAAACTTTGATTACTCAAACTGCATTTTTTTGAGGTTTAGGGGGAAGAAAATATATCAATGACTTCATAGGAGTTGACGTCGCATTTTTTGGATTTATTTTAAATTTATTTTGAATATTTTGAATTAAAAATAATAAAATATTCTTTTATCAACAACAAACCACGTCAGGGTTAAGTAATTAACGACGTTGTAAATAATAATAAACGACTCACTTGTAAAAAGGATGTCGTTTAAAAGAGAAACCATGGCGGATGTTTCACCATCCGACGTATACTCAATATTCCACGACTCAATCACCGTCGTTAAAAAGTATAAACTAAATCCTAAACTCTAAATTATATAATAAACGACTTACTTGTTCAAAGGACGTCGTTTAAAAGCGAAACCATGGCGAAATTTTCACTAAAACGACGTCCCACGTACGTACAAACGGTATATCACGTCTAAATCTCCTTTTACGTCGGTTTTTGACATAATTATGTCGTTGGAAAGTTATTACACGTCGGTTACGCAATTTGTTTTTTCTTTTAAATTATGAAAACCTCAACAAATTTTCAGGGAAAAAAAGGATGTATATTATAGACAAAATTTGTACATTATATATTATAGACAAAATTTGTACATATAAAAATATAAAGTGTTCCAAAAATCCTCTATTCCATATGAAGGCAAACAAGATCTGCCCATTCATTCCGGACTTCATCAATGGCTTCTTGGGGGTATGGCGCTTGCTCTTTTCCCTTGGCAAACTGCAATCCATAAACAATGATTATTAAGCTTTACAAAATAAAAAGAAATTCAGTCACAGACGACGCTTTTTTTCATAACCGACGTAGTATATCGATTCAACGACGGTAATTTTAAAGGACCGTCGTTGATAATACAAAAAACCACATAAAATGTTTCTGAAAATTTTCTTCTTACCTTCTTCTCAAACTCCAAGGAAGGATCCATGATGATGTCCCTCATGAAGCGCATCACATAATACCCGCATTCGACACTGCTGGGTTGCTTTGGTGTGCCTGGCAGAGTTTTCCAAATTGGTGCTTTACGGCCTGGTCTGCCTATGTGGGAATTATAAATTTTTAAAGCACTATTCACGATGTTTTTGCCCTCCTCATCAACCACACGATTTCCAGGCAGAGGATCCAGCAAATAGACGGTTTCCCCCTTTGCTCTCACAATCAGCAAGACCCAATGACGGCTGCACAAAATTAAAATAAAAAATGACGGTTATTAATATAAAAAGTCAGCACAAGAAAACAAACGACGGTTATTTATAAAAACCAACGTATTATAGAGTTTCACACGACGTAATAACGTAGCAATTGACGTCATTATAAATTTATCACGACGGTAATTAACTACCGACGTGGTTAGTTGTTTCAGACGACTCAATAAATAAAGAACCGACGTGGTTAGATGTTTCAAACGACACAAAATTAGTTAAACAGTTTTATAAGGGGTCAGTTAGTGAAAATCATACAAACAAAATCCTTTTAAGGAGACTAACCCTGGATTGTAAGGCATCATGAAAATATGTTTGGGACTGTAATACTTGAATTTTGTGTGTCATGTAGGCAACATATGATCCACATCCAGACCGCTTATCCAAAATTTAGAAAGAGAACAAAGTGGCTGCAGGATAAGCACAATAGCACTTTCATTCAATGGCTACGCTTCAAGGTATATGTTATTGAATAACATATTGGACTTTTAATTTTCTTCTTTCTATGTTAGATTGAATTAAGTTATGATTAATTTGCAGGTTCAAAGTGAACTTAATGAGGACAATCATGGCGTATCAGAAAATTTAAGGTGGCTAGCAGCTGGTCCAAACATGGCAGTGCCATTATATAGGAGCTATCTCATTAAAGGTATTAAATTCAACATCAAGGCACAAGATGATGTGCGGACAACTCAAAATAGTGGAGTTTATTTACTTGCACATACTATGCAAGTTGCTAGTGCCAAGGATAAAAACCCAATTCTCTCAAATATGGGTTTCTATGGTGTCATTCAAGAAATTTGGGACCTTGACTACCAAAAGTTTACAATCCCAGTCTTTAGGTGTGATTGGATTGATAATACTTCTGGTCTTGTAGTGGACGAACTTGGATTTACCCTTGTAGATTTGAGTAAAATTGGACATAGGAATGACCAATTTGTTTTGGCTTCTCAAGTCAAACAAGTATTTTTTGTTGACGACCCGATGCATCGTGGTTGGTCGGTAGTGTTATCAATGCCTAATAGAGAATATAATGATGTTATTGGTGATGATGTCTTAGGTGATGTGAGAATTGAGTGTGAGCCATTTACTAGGGGGATGCCAAATGTTGACACATTTGATGAAGTGGTGGTTGAGTTAGGGAGTCAAAATATTCGAGATGGGTGTGAAGATATATGGGTTGAATGATGCTTTATGTAATTGGCAGTGTTGACATTAATTTTGTAATATATTGTAATGTGATTTCTTCACTTTCATTATACAGGTTTTGGCCACAAAACAATCAGTACAAAAATTACTGGTTCCAGATTACAAACACGACGGTTTTGATAAAGAACCGCCATGTAATTCAACATAACACGTCTCCAATCCCATAACACCGACGTCTAAAAGACGAGAACTTTAACCTGAACGTTACAAAAGACGACGTCGTCATGAATTTACCACGTCGCATGTTCTTTCATAAACGAAGTGGAAAAGGATGAATTCACGACGGTATTTGAAATCCATTAAATTTGTCGACGTTAAGATTTATGAATTAGACGACGTTAATTTTTTTAATGAAGACGTATAAATTATTAAACACGACGGTCTTTTTCATGGTACCGAAGTTGTATATAAACGACAACGTCGTCCTCATAAATTACTGTGTCGTAATTAATGACCCCATCATTTTTTCCACGTCGTTTATTTTCAAAATATGACGCATAAATTCTGTAATACGGCTCTCATTTATTTGGAACCGACGTTGTTTATTCATTTCAACGTCGTCTCAGTAAATACATACGTCGTAATTAATGAACCTGACATCTATTTCCACGTCATAATTCGTAGAAAAATCGAAGTGGAAAATTTATTTTACGACGGTATTTGAAGTCCATTAAACTTGTCGACGTTAAGATATATGCATTAGACGACGTCAATTTTTTAAATGAAGACGTATAAATTATTAAACACGACGGTCTTTTTCATGGTACCGACGTTGTATATAGACGACAACGTCGTCCTTATAAATTACTGTGTCGTAATTAATGACCCCATCATTTTTTCCACGTCGTTTATTTTCAAAATATGACGTATAAATTCTGTAATACGGCTCTCATTTATTTGAAACCGACGTTATTTATCAATTCAACGTCGTCTCTGTAAATACATGCGTCGTAAGTAATGACCCTGACATCTATTTCCACGTCATAATTCATAGAAAAATCGAAGTGGAAAATTTATTTTACGACGGTTGTGGGAAATGTTGTGACGTAGTAGGTGTCAATAACGTCGTCTATTATTATTGTAAAGACGTCGTATTTATATTGTCGTTAAATATTTATTTAACGGCGTCAAGTTTAAGTTCTCGTCGTTGTATGTTTATCTTGCGGCCATGTTCTGTTAATATATGTCATCTGTTTCCTTTTTAACGACGTTTTTTTGTTGGAGTTGGTCGTCTATTCTCATCCTCGACCGTTTTTTTATGTCTTTTTGCAGCACAAAGACGTCGGTTTTTATTTTTTGATGACGTTTTTTGTTTTAACAACGACGGTTATTCACCGTCGTGGTTTGGTTATGGAAAAGATGTCGGTGGATTCCACGACCATTTGAAAACATAATACACGACGGTGAATTACCGTCGTGTTTTTCCTTTTTTGTAGTAGTGGTTCACCATCTGTTTTTTGAAGTCGACTTGCTACAATTCGTGATCTGTCAGTTAGTGACCCAGTGTTGGCACTAACTTGAGCAGGGTCGATAAAGCCAACCATGGTGTACATATTTGCTTCTCTCAAACGATCATATAAGCACCTAAATATATAAAACAAAGATATATAAAAAAAGTCAGCCCAAAAAAACACGACGGTTATTTATTAACAAACGACGTATTATACAATTTCACACGACGAACTGAAATAAAAATAGACGTTATAACTAATTTATCATGACGGTAAAAAAAGAACGACGTGGTTAGTGGTTTAAAATGACACAATAAATAAACCACCGACGTCTTATGCTATAATGTTTTTTTTTCTCATACACAAATTTGAGTGTGAATTAAATATTTGATAAGGACAAACCTCATATATACTGCAACCACAGTAGCCCCAATTTCTTCCATGCCTGCAAACTGTGTAATATCTTCAGGCAAGACGAAGGTACTGCGATCTGCACCAAACACCTCTTTCTCAATTGTGAAGGTCATGATCTTCTCCTGAGGCTTTAGTGTCGTTTCCACATAATGACAAAGGGATTGTAAGGAAGATGACACCTCCACATTTGAATAATCAACTACTTCATTACCCTGTTTAAAGAAATAAAGCAAAATAAAATGACGTGGTAATTCAATAAAAATGACGGTTTAAATAAAAACACGTCGTCTGATAATAATTTAAACGACGGTAATAAAAAAACCGTCGTGTTAAATAATTTATTACGTCATAGAAAACAAATTCCGACGTCTAATTTGAAAACAAACGACGGTTTAAAGAAAAATATCGACGTCTGAAATTTGAAAAACAAATAAAAAAGGCAAAGTTATGAGAATATACCTCTTCGTCATGCTTTTCTTCATCTTGTTTTTCTTCTTTCTTCTCTTCATCATTTTTGTCTTCCTTTTTGTCTTCATCTTTTTTCTCTTTTTTTCTTCCTTCTTCTCTTCATCTTTTTTTCTCCCTTCTTCTCTTCATCTTTTTTTTCTTCTTTCTTCTCTTCATCTTGATTTTCTAAAGCCCCAGATTTCTGTTTTCAGTAATAAAGAAATATATATATATGTACAGAAAGTAAAAAAATTATTAAACGATGGTAAATAATAAACGTCGTGGGATTTGTCTATTACGTCGGTAAGGACTAAAACCGTCGTCTAAAAACCACAAAGTACGACGTCTAATGGCGTGTAAAACAAGTAAACTAAATACGACGTGGTATTTAAATAAAAACGACGGTTTATTTATAAAATCGTCGTGGTATGGTTTTAAAACGACGGGTTTCTTCATAATAACGACGTCTAATAGTTTTTAAAAAAACAGAGAATTCAAAGTTCAGATATGTTACCGTTTCTTCCTGCTGTTCCCCATTTTTGGCAGTATCATCCTCTAAATGTAGGGATCTCACATCAGCCCCAGAACAGCTTGCTTTGTCAGACATTGGATTTTTGGGACTTTGCTCTACACCTTGGTTTTGACAGGGGCTAGTTTTCGGTTTAAGCATGCTTGGATCAAAATTGGGGATGAGTTGGGAAAGCTGACTTAGTAAATGTTCCCTCTCAGCCTCTACCAATTGCTTGGTTCTAGCCTCCATCCTTAAAGTCTCTTCCCTTGATCTAGCTTCCATCTTCTTAGTCTCTTCTTGAAGGACAATTCTTACACTTTCCTTCAATTGATCGGCAAACTTTACCCTCTGTTGTCTAGGTAAATTGAAGAATTGCCTAGGGGAAATCCTAGCACCTACCCCTCTTACCCTCCCTGGATGCTCGGGACCCAAAGCCAAGGTCAACACATCATTACTGCCAGATACACTAAGACTGCCTTCAGCCACTTGTTTTTGCAATTCATCCTAAAACAAAGACATATAAAAAAGTCAGCACAAGAAAACACACGACGGTTATTTATAAACAAATGACGCATTATATAATTTCACACGACGCAATAACATAGAAATCGACGTTATAATATATTTATAACGACGTTACTTAAATAACGACGTGGTTTGTTGTTTCAAACGACGCAATAAATAAACCACCGACGTCTTATGCTATAATTACAGAAAACATAGCAGTGATTCCATATTCAGACCTTTAACGACGTTTTTTAAAACATTTGGACGTAGTAATATCATTCACACGACGCAAAAATTAACTACCGACGTCTTATGCTATAATTAAAGAAAACAGAGATGTGATTCCAGATTTAGATCTTTCACGACGTTTTTTAAAACATTTCGACGTAGTAATATAATTCACAGGACGGAAAATATAACATAAGACGTAATAAGAATTATACACAGTTTAATAAAAATTTAAAACAGAGTGTGTAGGCTTACAATTAATTTTGCTTTCTCTGCCACCTTTGGATCCGGGATGTTACCATGTTTGTCCTGTCTAGCTTTCTTCCATAAGGTAGATCGATCAATTTCTACCCCAGGCATGGTTTCCTCCAATTGATCCTCCAAACCAGCATATCCTTTTCGAGACAATCGATGATTGTACTCAAGTTTCTCCCTAATCTGTGAATGTTGAGAATGCACAGACTCAAATTCTTTGGATAACCATGAAGCTACAAAGGCATCCCATTCTGCTTTCTCTATGAATTTATATATTTCAGGGGGTTGGCTTAATTTCTCCATCTCCTTGATGTATGGAAGGATATAATGCCTCGTCAGTGTAGACTTGAAATCCTTCCATTTCTTGGCAGCAGAAGATAACACCGAGGTCTTGTCCCCCTTGACCTACCACAAAAGCCATGTCAACGGCTTCCCAAATCTGCTCCTTTATATCCTTGGGGATTTCAGCCCATTACTTGTCCACAAGTGGGACTCTGGAGCGTGCCAACACACCAATGTAGGACTGCATCTCAGTATGTGCAGGGCCACATACTTTCCCCCTTTTATTGTACTCAACAACTGGCTTGATTTTTTGCAATTTTCTCTTCACAACACGAGGCATTGTGCTCATACCTCGACCTGACTTTGAATCCTCAGAAATTGTTGTCGTGCTGGTTGGTTTTGTCTCAGCAGATGAAACAAACTTCATCTTCTTCAAGGGCTTGTCTTGAGGAGTTACCATTCCAAGCTCCTTACCTCCATTTTTTTTTGGAGACAGAGTCCTTACTTTGGTCTTGAGAAACCATGGTTACAGAAAAAACAAACCTGCAAGTGAAAATATTTCAGGAAAAAAATAAGAACACAAATGACGGTTATTTATAAAATACGACGTATGATAAGATTTTACACGACGTAATAACATAACATCATACGTAATAAATGTTTTAACCGAGAGTACTTAAACAACGGCGAAACAATATTAAAGAAGACGTAATAAGAACTTATTACGGCGATATTTACACGACGTCGTGATATTCAAATTCACACGACGTAAATATTAATATAACGTCGTGTTATGGATATTCACACGACGTAAATAATAAGATACCGTCATCTTTATAAGAATCCAAAAACCTTTTTCTTTCTCTGTGAATGTTTGATTGCAGGTTTAATTTCTCTTAAACATGGTTTTTGTTTTTCCTAATTTGATAAAATACAAAGAAAAAGAAAGAAAGGTTTGGCATCTTTTATAGACGACGGTATCTTAGTATAATGTCGTGGTATGAACATTCACACGGCGTCAATAATAAGATATCGTCGTCTTTATAAGATACCAAACCCTACTTTCTTTGTCTTTGTATTTTATCAAATTAGGAAAAACGAAAACCATGGTTCAGAGAAATCAAACCTGCAATTAAACAAGCAAATAAAAAATCGACCGTCATTTTAAAAACAACTTAGATCAATTTTAAGACGACGCTAGGACGACTGACGAACCGTCGTGGTCTACATATTTAACCACGTAAATAAGAAGCTACCGTCGTCTTATTTAGTTGAAGTAGTTGTGTTCAAAGTTGGAAACTTTCCCTCTTTGTCTGTGTATTTTATCAAACTTGGAAAGCATAAAAATTATTTTCCCCAGAAAAAAGGTAAAAAGATTTTCAAAACAAAAACCGTATGAGCATGCAAAATAGCAACAAAAATAGTGAGAAATGAAAGCTTACCTTTTGCGTGCAATGAAAGCTTTCTCTCGGTGTTTGGTGTTTAAGTTCAGAGACGACGACGAAGACGAGAGGAAGACGATGAGATACTCTGACAGTGCTCTGACAAGGAAAAAAGACGAAAAGTTTTCTCTGGGAGATTGAAATTTTTCTCGGGTTTGGAAACAGTGCATGTGTAAGTCAGGTAGACGAAAAGTTGTATATATATACAAACCGTTTCATAGTAATAAGACGGCGGTTTACATAGAACGACGACGTATAAATAGACAAACTACGACGATAATTTGAACTTAGGACGTGGTAAATAAATACGACAGTAGTGTTGTAGGTACCGCCGTAGTAAACTCCTAAATAAAAGTCGATAAATCAATATCTCGCGTCATGGTAGAAGTATTTAACACGACGATTTTTTGTAATTTACCGACGTTTATTTTTATAATATACATCGTTTTTTTTTAATATACCGACGTGGAATTTATAAATAGACGGCGGTTTTGTGTAAGGACCGCCGTGGGTTTTAAAAATTTATTGTATAAATTTGTCGCTTTCTTTCAGTTTCAGTTTTCATTTAGGTTTCCAAGTTCTTCCTCTCTCACAGACACTCTCTCTCACATCTTGAAGACAATAATTTGGATGTCTTTCTCAAAGAGAAATGGAGCTTACTCTCCAACAAATCTATGTCCACAAGAGGAAGCTTGTCAATCCTGACAGGAGACTTAGTGCTTCTGAATACTCCTTGCTTTCCATCAAAAGAGATGCAAGCCTGGCCTCCACTCGCTGTCGAAGGAAAGTTCGCTTCTCAGGGAAACCTGAAGATCAGATGTCAGCCTCTGCTCGATTTTCTTGGCTAAGAAGATCCGTTAGGTTTGTGATAGAAGAAGATGGGTTATCGGCATTAGTGAAGAAGATGGGTTATCTGTAGAGCTTCTGAAGAAGAAGATGGGTTTTCAACAATGCGATAAAGAATAGAAATGGCTTCAGATGGCCTCTAAAGCATGATCAATCGAATCAGATGGCTTCAGCTGTCAATGCTTTGAACTAGCCAAGTCCTGCATAAAGAGAATGGTTAAAGAAATTGAAACAACGACGGTTTTATGTTATACCGTCGTCTTTTTTAAACTAAGACGACGCAATATTTTTTCGCGACGTGGATTCGTTTTAAAATGTCTTATGTGTAATATAACCGACGTGGATTTTATTTTTTTAATTATAAATAGAATTTTTTTTCCCTTGTTCTTTTAGTTTATTTTTCAAAAACAGTGCCTTATAAATAGAGTTTTTTTTCCCGAGGAAATTAATGTTCTAGAATTTGTAAAGTTTCTTTTTTGGGTGACTGATTTAAATCAAACACGAATATAAAAACGACTGTTTGTTGTTATACCGTCGTCTTTTTTAAGTTAAAACGACGCATTATTTTTTTCGCGACGTGGATTCGTTTTTAAAACGTCGTTATGTGAAATATAACCGACGTGGATTTTATTTTTATAATTATAAATATAATTTTTTTTCCCTTGTTCTTTCATTTTATTTTTCAAAAACAGTGCCTTATAAATAGAGTTTTTTTTCCCGAGGAAATTAATGTTCTAGAATTTGTAAAGTTTCTTTTCTGGGGGACTGATTTAAATCAAATACCAATATAAAAACAACGACTGTTTGTTGTTATACCGTCGTCTTTTTAAACTAAAACGACGCAATATTTTTTTCGCGACGTGGATCCGTTTTTCAAACATCATTATGTATAATATAACCGACGTGGATTTTATTTTTATAATTATAAATATAATTTTTTTTCCCTTGATCTTTCAGTTTATTTTTCAAAAATAGTGCCTTATAAATAGAGTTTTTTTCCCGAGGAAATTAATGTTCTAGAATTTGTAAAGTTTCTTTTCTGGGTGACTGATTTAAATCAAATACGAATATAAAAACAACGACTGTTTTTTGTTATACCGTCATCTTTTCTTGTCGTCTTAAGTTAGACTAAGACGACGTAATGTATTTGTTAACCGACGTGGATTATTTTTGTTAAACGGCGTTATGTGTAATATAACCGACATGGATTTGGTTTTTTAATTTATAAATAGGGTTGTTTTTTCACGGTTGCTTTCAGTTTTAGTATTCGTTAGGGTTTCAACTTCTCTTCTTGCCCCTTTCCTGTCTCACCACCCTCTCTCTAGTAGGCAATTGGTTTGAATTGTTGGTTTGTGTGTATGTTGTTGTATCTGATTCACAAACATACACACATCACCAATTTTCAAAAATTGTCTCTCTGATTGGAAATCTGTGGCTGCGTCGTGAAGTTTTTAGGGGCAGTTGTTTGGATGTTGATGTGTGGTGTGTGCGTTTGTGTAGATACACAAACGCACACACACATCATCCAACTTCCAAAAAATTGTCTCTCTGATTGCAAATCTGAGGCTGCCGCCGTCAAATTTCAGAAGCCATTTTTTGGATGTTAATGTGTATGTGCTTTGTGTATCTCAAAGACACAAATACCATACATCATTAACCTCTAAAATATTGTCGTCTGGGTAAGATTAGTATGAGCAACAGAGTTCCACTTGTAAGAATTTCCTAACCCTTTGATCTCAGAAAAATTTGATTATTGGCGTTTTTCTATATAAACCGTGGTATTATTTTCAAATTTTGTCCCTTAAGTCGCTCTTACCGACGTAGGATAACAAATCCCAGAAATAATTGCTTAAAAAAATTCTTATTCAGACAGACGGTTTAAATAGTAATGTATGACGTATCAAGTGGATAAATAACGTTAAATTGTATAATACTCGTTCATGAAAACCCCAACTTGGGAGATTTAAGCTATCGTCGTAGAAATACAGAAAGCACTTCGTTATATTTTATCTTTGCCTTAGTGTGTACATTAAGTTAATACGGCGGTATTTTGTATTTAACCGCCGTGGATTATGGGTAATTAACTGCGCCTTATACGAAAAACTTGGTCGTGTTAATTTCTTCTGGGTAAAAACAACGGCTTTTTTTGAAATCGTCTTCTTTACTTTCTACGGTCGTCGGGTCATAACTTCCGCGGTTATTATTTGGCTATGATTTTACCACTTTGAAAATCCTTTTTCAATAAACGTCGGTTTTTTTAAATTAGGTACGTCGTTTTTTAGGAACCATTTGAATCTTCCAATTTTTAGTTGTCTAAGGTGTTATTACAACACGGCGGTTTTAAAACCGTCGTCTTTTAAAAACAAACGACGGTTTGTCACTTAGACCATCGTTTTTTTTCTGGTCGTCTTTGTCATTTTTGGTAGTGTAGTATTTTTTTTTTTTTTTTTTTTTTTTTTTTTTTTTTTTTTTTTTTTTTCCATCTTATTATTAAGCCTTAAATTTTTGATCTAATGTCGTCATGAAGTTTGCTCCTTTCATTTTCAACATCTTTGGTTCCGCGTGCCCGCGAAGTTTTTGTTTGTAATTCTCTTTTTCGCACAAATAAAAAAAAATCTTCGACCAAACCGATCCAAACCCATATCAAATCCTAAATCTAAGTCCATTACTGGTTGTACCTAAAAATAGAAAGACTAAAATACCCTTACAGGTGACATTTCTACAAAAATCGCAAAAATAAGATATAAATGCCACTAGATCTACATCAACGACAAAAAAAAAAAACAAAAAAAAACCATGGATTAAACATAATAAGAAAACCGAACGATTTGGGCTTGGATCTAAAGACCCCATAATAAAACTATTTTTATGAAATGAATCAAATGTTTACATCAGCTTATGGCTTTGTATAGAGAACTAGCTTAACAGAATTACTTAGCAGCTAATTCTCTCTAACGATATTCTAACAACCCAACTGATTCAGCTCTAACTGTTAAAAGTGTTAAAAGTTCAAACTAATAGCACGTGCCATAACAACCCAATTGATTCGGTCCTAGATGTTCGTGGGAACACATATTTTAGCGACTAATAAGAAGATGACACGTGAAAAAGAATATTCCTTAAGTCAACTAATTACTTTATTTAATTAGGAAAATTATCTTTGATTTAAGATAGGAATATCTCCCCAAATTTGCAGATTGCACATGATCGTTCTCCATTACGGAAGAAAGAAGAAAAGGGTCGAGTGAGGTCTACAAATTTCTTGATTTTTTTTTTTTTTTTTTTTTTTTTTTTTTTTTTTTCAGGTGTGAAACATGGCTATGGGCATTCTCTTGGTTTAGTTTTAATTTTAGGCTAATATGCGGTTTTTCCCCTTGAAATATACCATATTTGTCAATTTTCCTCTCTTTTTTTTTTTTGTAGGTAAATTAAGGGCATGAATTATTTAAAAATAGCCAATTTACCTCTTACTGTTAGATTTGGGCTTTGAGGCTTGCTCAAGGCTAATTAATTGAGTTTAACATTGAAAGAGTTATAGTAGCGTGGATCTGTGTAAGTATGTGAGAGAGAGAGAGAGAGAGAGAGAGAGAGAGGGGGAGAGATCAGGATGGGGTGGGGTGGGTTCGTCAGCGGAGGAGCGTGCAACTGTGTGTAAAGGGAGGGCCTGGGTTTTTTTGGTTAAATTTTTTTTTTTACTTTTTTATTATTATTTAATAAGGTGCATTTTTGAAAATTACGAAATTACTCTTAATATTGATGGAAAATTGGATGGAGTTTGAAAATCTAACGGTAAGAGGTAAATGGGCTATTTTAAAATAATTTGTATCCTTAATTTACCTGAAAACAATATCTAGGGGGAAAATTGACAATTATGGTATAGTTCATGAGGCAAAACCGCATATAGTAAACACGAATTTCCTGCGACAAATGAGACAAGAACACATGTACAAAATAATATTTGTATTAATGAAATTTAGGGTTACAATCTCTGTATTAAATCATTTGATTCGATCTCCAAAGTATTTAAAGAAAATTTGTGTTTGATATAAGGGTCGTAGAGACTTGATCTTGATCAAACGTGTAGCATAAGGCTTGTTTGGTGTTTGGATTTTTCTAGAGTGGAGGAACCAGCACGTATATGTTGTGCTTTGTGGCTCTTCCAAAGTGAGGTGAAGAATGCAGAAAGTTTTCTGTTTCTTCTGAGTGCTTGGTCTTTCTAAGCTTCTTTCTTTCATCTTTCCTTTAATTTTGTCTTCACTTTGAACCGTTTGATGCACTCCATCGGATGTCAACACGTGTCACTTTTGACAACTAATCCGATTTTGATGAGTCGTACGCCACATGGGCGAATTGTGGGGCCCACAATTTAATCCACCAAATCCTAATTTTTTTCTTACTTACTGGAATTTAATTCACCAAAATTTCATTGTCTACAATAACCCTTAATTTTACATGTCAGCCGCCGAAGTTATCTAACGATTAAAACTAAAATTCATTAACAAATCCGCACCCAACTCATCCAAAGGACGCATCCTCAAAGGTACTCACAGATACGATGGTTAAGATTGACCAATATGTATTTATTGGGACATCATTTTTTGCACTCTTCAATGATGCATGGTTTGGATCAATATGTGCAGAAAGTTCGTCTAGCTTAAGGATGCACTTAATCACTTGCAGCGTCGCATCGATTGTTTTGTTGAGCTCAACAACTGTTCCCTGCTGTTTCTTAAAATTTGCGGTGGAATTGAGAAGGAGTGGAACGCGATTAAGGATTGCGAGTGCAGTGGTAAGCTGGTCAGATTGGGGGTAAAGCTGGGAAAGGAGCCAGGAATTTCCATATTCCATAGCAAAGGCTGCTAGGGCCAGCACTGCTTTCGCTTCCCATGAATACTTGGTTAGCTTTCCAAATATTCCTAGGGTTGTGGTTTTGGGCACTATTTTCACGTACATCCTCACATGACATCTGAAATTTCAAGAGCAAACAAAGACTTAGATGTGTAAGAAAGTAAATAATCATCAGGCATATGCATATATCGTTTTGGTCATGCAATTGAATTAAAAGAAAAAGAAATTGGTATGACCTCGCATCCAATGGACTTGAGAGCGCACAGTGGGGAGACGAAGTTATCACTTTTCGATACGATTGAGGTATGTGTCGAATGCTTGATGATGTTTTCAGTGATGAAGAAAAGAGAACGGACGTCAAACTTGGGATGGTTTTCAGGAGCATGGTTTTCACAAATGATCTCCAAGATTTCTGGCTCGGTTAAGGTAAACCCGTTATGGCTGAACTCATTTAGCTGGATGCTGTTCATGATTAAGAACTAGGGATGGGGTTTAAGCAGAGGCAGAAACAGCAAGAACTAGGGATGGCTTCTAAGTGTTGCAAGTGAGCTGAATGTGCCTTGTCCACTATGAAACTGTACCTTTTTATAGCCTTTGCTTCTTCATCTGACGGATGGACGGTAACATGTAAACTACGCAAAAAGCGGATCCTCCTCTAATTTACTATTTTGAAATGGCCAGTCTACCGTTTCACACATGGATCGCGAATTGATTTTTTATTTATATATGTTGATGCTCTTTTTCGGAGAGGGTCAACTTAGAGATAGGGGTTTGTCTTTAGCAAGAGAAGGGCCTGGGCCTTCAGTAAACGGCTAGTCTGCAAAAGACAAAAATAGGAGAAGCAGTCGTTAAGCTTCGGACACCGGTGTGGTGCCGGCCGAAGGCTCTCCGATACCTGAGTCAGCTAGGGGTAGTGACTATCGCAAAGTAATAGTAATGGTGGGAGAGAAGTTACCCTTTTTCTTGGTTACTGTTCCTATTTATAGGGAAGTAAAAGTAGGAGGTTTGCACAAAGTTCCGATGTGGGACTTTGTGCAAGTTGCTGTGATGATGACACGTGTCTCCTGTGTTTAAGGTTTGGCAGTTCGGAGCTTTGGCAGGTGGTTGTCCCTTCGGAAGAGCATCTCTCTTTGGCAGGGAGGAAGGCATGTCTACCTTGATGTTTTAGTCACGCTTGGTTAATTATGGTGTAAACAATATATGCAGCTCATGAATGTAAAGTCAGTGCTCTCTCCCTCGGCCTCAACTACTGTATGTTCAGTTTATCATTTGATTCTCCAATATTATTATTTTGAGTAACTCGATCATATTTAACGTTTGGGGCCCATTTGGTTGAACGCATTACACACAAAAATACATTAAATACATTTTTTTCCTTTCACATTGCGATTGAACACATTGCACCTACCATACCAACTATTGGGATTTCTCTACGCATATTTCCTAGCTCAAAAATTGCGCAAAACAATTCAGAAAGCAATTGATCACACAACGTACAAGATTTACAATGTTCGCTTGAAATTGAGTTTACACACAATATTTACAAGATTTACAAGGTTTGATCACACAACCAAGATTACAATTTTACAACACATAGGAAATAGCTTCTGTCAGCCCTCACAGTCTCATAAATCTCTCTCTCAATTCATCTCAATCAAAATTTCCTATACACCTTAAAAATCATACAGATAACATCACACGTAGACCAACGTGCTCTATTATAATGAAGAAGTTGACGTTTCAATCTCAATACAATTTGCAATGAGAATTGCTAAACATTCAACTACTCTTCACATCTGTGCACCAATGTACATAATAACCGCATTCAAGTACACCCCCAGTTAGGCACTAATAAGATTATATATTTCATTAAGTTGAGGATTGCCACCCCGCCATGGAAAGCCACAGGTAAGTTCTGGAGTTCTAATAAGGTATCATGAAATATGCTTTCTATGTGCCTATCGAAATTATTGAAACCCAATTGCCGGCTTCAATCCCAACAAGTTAATCTTTTCTGCCGTGCTGATCGGATCCGGAATCACAAAATATACTTTGTATGTGCACACAAGTCCACGACAGTTCACAAGTGACAAAGTCATCCACCGTTAATGCCGACCTCATAGTAGTCTACGTCTTTATTTTGGGTCAGTGTCTACGTCACTTTATTTATTTATTTATTTTCTTCCTGTTTCAGAGAAGTATCTACCTCAGTATTATATAATTCATACAATTGTTTACTAAACACATTTTAAGTAGGGGTACAGGCGTGTTGGACAGGTTAGAGGTCCCAACTATGTTACGTTTGTGCAAGTTTTCACATCTACTTCTTTGTTACAAACATGAAAAACATGTATTATAGAATCAAGATATGAATAACTCTAATCTAAAAACCAAAAATAGTTCAAAATAATACATATATGTACAAGAGTGTTCAAACACCAAGCGCGCTAGGCACTTGTTTGAGCCTACTCCACAATGTAATTTTTATCGTCATTTAGTTTAGGTTCCTTTAAAAAATAAAGAGTAATGAAAGGAATTAGAGGAAGGGATAGAGGAGAAAAAAAGAAGAAGAAGAGTAGCAGATGAAGAGCAGTGTGTGTACACGAGAGAAAAGAGAAAACTGAAATGAGGGGAAAAGGAGGGAATGGATACTTAGAGCTTGTTGATAGGGAGGATTAGAATAGACTAGACTAGAATCAAGACATATTATGAACATTGTTATCTAACTTGGAGCACTGGCGGAGAGAGTGCATGCCCAGGGTGGGCACTAGCCCCCTCTCAACTATTGTTCTACATACAATTTTATGTTAGTATATTGTACAAATATTATAAAATTCCTCACAAATTCCTAAATGGCCTCTATTTTCTTTGTTTCTCTTTCATTTTTATGTCTAAATTTCTTTTGGATTGCATGTATTTTGTTATCATAAAAGAGTGATAGGTTATTCATACAAAAAGTAAAGAAAAAAAAATTGAGAAAAGTGATAAAATTAGAGATTTCTTAAAAACTAGGTTGATTTGTCATAAAAGAAAGTGTTTGAATTTTTAAAGGTGCCCCCTCTTACTTAAATTTCTGGCTCCACCACTGACTTGGAGGATGAAGAAGGACTATTCAAAAGAGGTTGATGACTGAAACTTATCCCTCATAATCCCCATTTATCCATCAAGTTAGACAACAATGTCCATATTATACTATAAATGCACATGAAATATAGGCATTAATATTTTCCAATCTAATCTAGTGCTCCTTATAAATAAATAATAAAGTGTTAATGCTGCAGTGGGTATACGGGAAAAGCAAAATGTTTAAGCTTGTTAAAAATCTTATTGGAACAAGACATGTGGCTCTAAAAAGAGATAGAGTTTGAGTTCTCGGTGAATAGCAAACCACAACACGGCTAAACATATAAATTTGAGATATCAAACCAAATTTATGGAACCAAAAGTTTTGGGGTTTGCACCCTTTTGGGATTTCAATCAAATTTGTTGGACCAAAAGTTCAGTTCAAGGTTTTTTAGGAAGATTTACTATTACACCCAATATATGGGCCTTTTTTATATTAAAAAAAATTAAAATTAAAATCCCACATGAAATGGACTTTAAAAATACATCCAAAACCCATTTACAACATAACAAAGAGGCTTCGAACTCCCTATAAATTACAAAACTACCATCGATTTCTTAAAACAAGCTCAACCTTAAAACCTCATAAAAAATAAAAAATAAACAAAACACTTAATAGGGCATCAAAGTAATTTAATAATTAAAATTAAATTCAATAGGTCCATCTGTCATTTTTTGGAATGGTGTAGGGCAATGATGGAGCCACAATGAAGTCACACGATCTCTTGGAACCCATGAAAATAGGTTTGGAGGTCCCTTGGAGCTGCACACCAAGGCTATGAGGGATTGAGAGAGAGGGTGCAGCACCTCATAGGGTTTTAGAAATAGGGTATCTTACACACACAATATCAAGGTGTCATAGAGGTCGAACCTGAGATCATTGGTTTGCAAGTCAATGCCCTTTTCCACTGAGCTAGAACTCATTGAAGTTCAGTTTAAGTTTCCTCATTCCTTGTGAAACAGTCAATTTGGGAAACACTAAACCACCTGTACCTCCCTCAGTTTAGATGAGAAGTATCGAGTAAACTGTTGCCACAGTTTCACCTCCATAGGCTGGCTACCTTGCGATCAAGGGCGTTGGAATTAGGAGTTCCTGTGCAAAATAAAAGGTTGAGGCCCCCTTTATGTACTAATAAAAAGTTGAACTAAAACCAATAAAACTACTACCAACATCAATAATGTCCCAAATGTAACCGTCTGCACAGTTGGACAATTGTGTAGTGTTATACAAAAAGTCTTGATGTTATTAATCGTGATATCATTCATTATCTGTACTTATTTTATCAAATATTTGGTGTGGGACTTCACATAACTCAACAAAATAGACCTATTCTTTTCACAAAATTTAAGGAGTCTCCTTGTAATAGAAAAGAGGTAGAAAGCCCAAACTATCAACCAAATACTTGCGAAAAGGCCATTTTTGTTCTCTTATTTACTGGGCTTACTCATCTCTAAGAGCCCTTCTATGTTTGGACGCTATGTGAGTGCAGAGACCGCACGGGAGCTTCAATGATGAGAGGCTATTTGAGGGGTTACAATGAGGGGTTCAATCCAACAGTCCAATAATAACTTTGCACTAGATCGAACAGTTATTAAAGACCCTCTCATTATAACCCCTCACAATAACAACTCATTCTAGCATCCATGCAAACCGCACAGGCTTTGGGCCAGACTTGCTTGTGATATTGATGTCATGAAACTCCTATTTAATACTAGCCATGACATACTGAATTGATTGTTGGATGACTTCAACTTTGTTAATATTTTGTTGAGTATGAGAGCATAACTTGACGGGTCCATAGGATGTAACATTATTCATCCTAATCTGTTTCTGTGATTTACTGTGTTTACAGTTTTTCTAGGTAGTTGTCTAGTCGTAGCAGCTACTCATCTAGTGGTCTTTTTAGAACAATTGTTGTAACAGTCATTTGGTTTTAGTCTTAGTGGTCTTGTCACCTACTACCAATTTTTTTCCTATTGGCATCATATAAATCATAGTCTCAAGAGAAACAACCATTTCGAATGGCTTCATGATGCTAAAATATTCATTTCTCCATGCCTAGAGCACATATAAGAAGCAACAACAAATCTTGAAGCGGCTACTAATTCGAGGAAAATACATATGATAGCGATGGTGAAAAAGTTGTGGCCGATCACATAACATGACAATATCCAACAACAAAGATGAACATTACATTTACAATACTGGACGCACACACAACACTCAGACTCAGACTCATACTCACATTGGTGGACGTCACATTACCAAAGTAATGAGATGCCCATGATTATTGTAGAAACCAAAACAAGAAAGCATAATACTTATTCCAATATTACTACTATGGCA